ATAGGAGGGTGCCTCCTGTCCTCACACCCTTTGTGGAACTCCCCACCCTGAGGGAAGTACTGGGCATTCCTGCCTGAACTGGAGAATATATAATCTTGGAGTCTTGGAACTTTTGCAACCACTTATGGGATCCAGAGGAAGACTGCAGACCACCGCTCTCAACCAGACTGTAATCACCGCTTTTCAACCACACTGCAACCATCACTCTCGACCAGACTGCAACAGCACTCTCACCAACAGGTTTTCCCCTCTCCTTTTATTTTGGACTCAGGGGGCCCAAAGAACACCACTCTGTTCATGCCCCAGGGTGCTGGGTGCTCTGATCTGAACCCAAGAGTTAGGGTTTTTTATTAATTCTTTAAATTCTCCTCCCAATCCCACTGTGGGCAAGTGAGGTGCAGGGGGTAGTGATCAAGCAGCTGTGGTACCTCGGTGTCTGGGGTTAGACCACCATGTTTGGAAATTGAAATCAATTTTCAATGCATTACAGTCCTACTTTTAGCAGACATTTATTGCTTTCTTATGGTTTATAATTTCTAAGTAGTTTAATTAAAAGAAGGAAGACAAAAGTTTTATTTTGCATTTTTGTCAATTAAGATGTAACCAAACCTAACAAATCCAATTACGGCCTACCTGGCTCCACAATAACACACTGAGTTAATTTTATGACAGCTGTATATTGGTTGCCCAAAAAGCATGAGTCAGTGCATCTCTGCCATTCTGAATATGCTAATAAGCCCCTTCTTTTACACAGTAACTCTTTTACTGTATTGAAAAGAAAATAACATTTCTTGTTCATCAGTTAGAGGATGTCAAAAGAAATCCCTTCCACATTCTGAGCAGAAAGCTAGCTGTTAATCCTACCGTGTGCATGTGTGCATGGGATATGGTGTGCCACCACTTGACTCAGCACTGACTGTAAAAGGCTTCAGAGGTGGCACACCAGAAACAGTCCCACAGTTGCAGCTCTCAGAGCAAAAGTTGTTGAAGTCACAGTCTGCAGCTGCATGTAACTATTCAGTCCTCTTCAAAGCCTCAGAGTTGGCAATGTCAAGAAGTGCAATCCTCCCAGACAGCTTTTCTGAGTTGTACCACCCCTTCTATAATACAGCAGTTACAAAGCAGGTCTACTAAACCAGGTAATTAACACATGGTTATCACCCCAACAAGTCTTTACTGACACTTTTCCTTCCTGGTACATAAAATATACTGGGTGATCTAATAGGGGGGAAAACAGATATTGGAAAAGGGGAATTTTAGACTGCCATTTTGTACCTCAGCCATACAAAGATTGTGAGCTAAATTATCCAGCTACGGTGAATGACACTGAAGGAAAGGTGTACCTTCAGCAGACTAACCCAAATACCAAGGCTTATGCAACACTTAAGCCACACTTAAGCCCTATTTGGAAATCTTCCTGTGGTATACAGACTATCAGAGCATGAATGAAATATTTCATGCAGACAGGAAAAGAAACAGCAGTTACTAGATGATACTGAGAAAGCTACAGATAAGCTGCACACAGAACACTGAACAGACAAAGCAACAGAATAGGAAATATCAACGCTTAAAAAAAGACAACAAAAAAATCTAAAAGGCACTGTAAAAATAAAGTTAAAAATAGGAATGGATTAAAACTAAAACCAAACACTTGGATATCTTCAACAGCATCATGACCCAACAAGATTAAAGAAATCGTATGAACAAAGATCTATAGAAACAGCTGACAACTGGTTTAGTGATTGATTCTAGTTATTTATTTTGCAACTTTTTTTGGCTAATAATGAATGAACAGTTCTGTTGTGCCTATATGACTCTTTGGCCTCATCAGCACTCCCTTATCTTAAAAGCGTGAAATCAAATTTTAGCCTAATCAAAGTTACTACCAACTAAATCTGATTCTAATCACAGGGGGGTTTACTGATACCATTCTGAAACATTTGACGTGGACTGTAGGGTCTCCTGGTCTTGGGCTGGGGAGTGACCTGTAAAACCAAAACTATTTGTGAACAAGCATTCATCCACTTGAAAAAGGACTTGAGATGCAATACTTCCTTCTGAGCAGAGCATAGAGATGTCTTATGTTTACTCCATGTTGCCATCTCGTAAATAAAAACTTGCCTTTCTTCTAAGACGTCTGGAAGAAAACAAATATATCCAGATTAAAAATGTATTTTGCTCTTCTTTTCTCCATTAAATGGTCAGCCTGATTACAGAGATACTCTCAAAATGGTTACTACTAGTAACTTCCCAATACTACTAGATTTTAGGTTTTGCAATCTGAATCTACTTAGCTTTCATTTCAGCAAAAGGGTATTTTTCCATCTATTTATTGTGTATTATTAATTTAGCTCTTCTTTCTAGAGATCAGGTCTGAAAAAACAGAACACTGTTAATACACTAATCAACTAAAGAAAGTGACTGTACATCAGTTACTGTGGTGTAAGAGAACACTGCCAGTAGCAAACACATTTGATAAAGCTGTGAAGACTCATTCTGCAAAGGAGAATGAAGGTTTTGATATCCGTACCATTATTAGTTTTGTGAGAAACAGAAACCCAGTCGGGCAATTTCCAATCAGAATTTATTATATGATAAAAGCAAATTCAGCGCTGGGTGATCGGGGAAGGGGTTCAACAACTCCCAAAGCCTGTCACACCCAAAGAAGACATTTGTTCTACATTTATTTCCAGCTACTACATGAATATTCATTATACATAAGTATAAACATTACACATTGTTAGGTCAGACATTCCACAAATATTTCTTAACAAGAATGTTATCTATAAGCATCCATAATATATTGTTAAATCAGACTTTCAGCAGATGTTCGCTTGTTATCTATACAAAGTTATAAATTTTAAGAAAGGTGCTATTAACTAGCTAACTAAACAAAATTCTCTCACCATAAATCCTACACAAGGTAAAAGGGAGGTAACTTGTTTTATCTCTTTATAGGGGCCCAATTAAGTTTTACGGCTTGTTTTTCTTTTCTCTCCAGGTCATATTGACCTTACACTGTTTTCTCTTAATTAGCTCGAATCATTTTCTCAGTTTATCACAGTGATAAAGGAGAAAAAAATATTTCAAAGGGCTGAAGTGTCTCTCTAAAAAGTGGCACTGTCACACTGCAATATTCTCACTGATAATCATAGTGAAATGTGTTCCTTTGTTTGAATTAGGGTTTTTTGCCATCTCTCTTTTTTTTCAGAAATTCATATGAAAGCAGCAGTTCCTAAAGACAGCAAAGAGTGTTCTGGCAAGGTGTTCCATTAGCCAAATACGCTAGGTTCCTGTACCATGGCATCACCCCCAAATCATACGGCATCTGCACTACCTAGGGGCATGTGACTGTACCAGTACCATATTGAGAATGATTCCCAACTTACCAACACAAAATATTTTGCTTTCTGTACCACATTTTTATACAGATAGTGAGTGCGCACGCTTGTAGACTCCCGTGTCGGTGCCGACAACCACATTTACTGGAAAGTAACTTCTGAGTCTGTCATGGGTATTAAGGAAAATTCCCGGTCTGATCATTCACAACTATCTGACAGTCACACTCCCAAGGCCAGAGGCTTTCACTGCTGGGATCGAAGCCCCTTCGCGGTGGGCGGCTCCAGTGTCTCGACGGGTGCCCCGCTTGACACCCATCCCTACAGACCCCCCTCTCACACAGTCCGACCAGGTTTCCTTACCGGTTCGACCCCAGGTTGTCCATAGCAAAGTCTCAGATGTCTCGTTCCATGAAGCCATTTATTCCTCTGTAGTAACACAGAAACAGCTCGAGCTGGTACCTCCGAGTAGGATACTCGCACAAGGGACCCCTGGGCCTTTATCCCCTCACAGTCTGCCCGCGCACACGTCTCGGCTCCTGCCCTCCTCTCCCTGTCCATCCACCTCGCCGGTGTCACTGGTCTTCATCTCCTTTGATATCCGACAGGTCGGCAATTCTCTGATCCTGCTGGGTCTCGCCGTGTCCGTTCACCTGGCTGACGTCACCCCTCGTCGTGCCCTTTCTTATCCCGAAGGCTGGCAGTTCACGGCCCCTTGTCTCGGGCTCCCACCCAGAGCTCCATCTTCATTTCAATTTGCGGCTTGCGAGTCCAGCTACAGGGACCAGACTTACTCAACAATGGGTAAGGGACGTAGCGGGATGATGTCTGAAGTCCCCCTCCATCCCATTTCCTCCTGTATTAAGCCTTGCTGTTTGTTCCTTTGTCACCCATTCACCCAATCCCAGTAGCAGCCCTCAAGGATCACTAAAGACAGCGGGACACGCATTTCACGGGATAACCACTTTGTCCGTTAATTCACCGCCTCCCGCGGCCGCGCCTGCGCGAGCCCTCCCGCCGCCTCCCACCGCCCCCGGACCGCGCCTGCGCCGGGCTCGCAGGGCGGGGGGGGTTCTGCGGGCAGCGAGTGGTGCCCTGTTGCTGCCCCTTCTGCTACTCTTGGCCCTGCCCCTGCTCCAGCTCTGCCCTGCCCCTGCTCCAGCTCTGCCCTGCCCCGCCCCTCCCGGCACGCCGGCCCTTCGCTCCGCAGCAGCCGCACCGAGTCGAGGCCGCTGTCGGGAGTTCCCTTCTCTTCCCCTCCCCGTCCCTGCTCGGAGCCCGACACAGCCCGCCGGGTGCTTCCCGCGTCCCTGTCGCAGGATGAAGAGGATCTTCGGGTTCGGAAGGAAGAGGAAAGGACAGCCGCCGCCCGGCAGCGCCTCCCTGCCCTGCCCCGCCGGTGCCTACGAGCTCCGGCAGAAGGATCTGGGCAAGCTGCACCGTGCGGCCGCCAGCGGCGACCTGGCCCAGGTGCGGCAGGGACTGAGGAAATACGGCATCGACGGGCGGGACAAGGCGGAGCGGTAAGCGCGGGAGCCGCGGGGGTGGGCCGGGAGCCCCAGGTGCACCTACAGCAGCCCCCGGCAGCTCCCCGGCGCAGGGCCGGCAGCGCCCTGGGAGGAACGGGAGGGCGGGCGCCGCAGCCGAGCGCAGCCCTCGGCTGGCTGTGGGAATCGGGCTTGTGTTGTCAGAAACCCTGTGAATTCGGCCGAGTTGGGAAGGACTTGTAATGCAGAATAAACATGATATTTATTGATGCTGCGTGCACAGTTGCTATTTGTGACTGTGATGTGGCAGCCAAAGCCAGTCTGATTTTAGGTGGCAGTTAATTAGTTGTTTGCACTGAGGCTTTGGCTCAGCTAATCAGTACCTTGGATTGGAAGATCTGGTCAGTGACTTGCAGGAAAAGCTGCTGCTTCTGACAGTGCTGTTGTGTGAGTTTTTGAGTTGCACACAGCAAGTATTTGGCAATTCTGTCTTCAGGAGAAGCCCTGGGCTGCAGCATAGTTCCTAGTGATCTAGCATAAGGGAATTGGCTGAAGTTTTGGAGTCTTGTATGTTACAACCCTTTAATACCTTTTCTAAAAAGGCTCGAAGTAAAAAGTTTTGTGATATTCTGAAGAGATGCTGGTTTTGGCAGGGTAGCTCAGCTTCTTAGGCTGCCTGTCCTGAAGGCTGGACTTGTGGTGACCAGCTCACTTATTGCCCTAAAAACACCTAGATTTGTAGAAGCAGGAAAGAGCATGGTAAATATCCACTTTGCTAATGTGGATTATGTGCCTGAGTGTTGGCAATTAGTATTTGTTTATGCAGTTAGAGATGGGAGATGCAGTTTAAGGCGAATTGAGTGCGTTTTGTGACTCCATTTGCTTGAGTCAGGGTGCCCAATGGCATTTATGGAAATAGTCATCGGGTTTTAGCAGGCCCTAATATGAAATTTGGCTACTTTGTGTGTAAGTTCATTCTCTAGACAGCTTTGTTTCTTCTAGAAAGGTTTCCTTCCGTGTGTCAAGCTATTATCAGTGTTATAGCTGGGGAAATAAAGTAGCACGCTGTAAAAAAAACAAAACAAAACCCAAAACAAATTTCACAAGAGGCAAGGCAGTAGAGCACTGCAATGATTTTGGCATGACAATGCTCAGTGCTGAAAAGCTTGCCTGAGAGGAATTCAGTGGACAGAGTATGCCTGTTTGCTGCAGCCCCTGTACACTTGGGTTACAGGCCCACCTTACTCCCTCTTAGTGTTTGTGGGTGTGATGTGTGGTGTGAACGATCATGAGATGCAATTGAGTTTCAGAGCTTCATCACGTCCTCCAGGGACTCAAAGGCATGATTGGAAATAGAAGTGAAGAATAGGAAACCTGTGAAGCAATGACTGAAATTGTGTATTATTTCAGACTGAAATGCTGAAATGTGCATTGTTCATATGAATATCTCAGTTCCGCTCCTCAGGATTTCCAAAAGCAAAATCCTACACAAGGGACATGGCAAGTCTCATGCCTACAGGCTCCTTCCATAAAGTGGGTCTTGTAGCCCGTAGGACGTCCAAAAAAATGTGTTTGGAACAGCATGAATTAGGAGCAGACTTTTCAGAGGTGGTCTAGCAAAGCCTTCAGCCCTACTGAAAAAGATAGGCAAAACTCGGCACAGAGTTTGAAGCACTGCAGGCATGATGCTGGCGAGTCATGAATCCTGGGTCAAACTAATCCCTGAGAGATTTACTCTGTCAGCTGCCTGTCAAAGTGAACTCTAGAGCTTAGCATTGCATATCTTGTAGCTGCTGGGTTGTTGGCTCGGGTGCCTTTGAAAGTGTGTGCCATCAGTTTGCTATCCCCTTGTGGTCTCCTCGTTGAGTTGTTTTGTGGCTGATCAGACATAAGTAGGTCTCTTCTACCCCATGGGTGATCAATGTATGACGGCAGGAGCATCAGGAGCTGAGTCTGAGCAGGATCCCCAGGGGGGTGGCAGAACAGCTTTGGTGTTACTGAAGGTCTCTTGTGGAGACAACTGTGAACACTCTGATGTTCTCCCAGCCTTTTCCCTGAAGTGGATCTTCTGTGGAGCTCAGCAGGACTTGCTCCAAGCAGAGCCATCTCTTTCCACTTGGCAGGCTTAGAGGCTTGGTTGGAAGGGCAGCTATGAGCCTACAGGTTTTCTGCAGACTTTCCTGTTTTCAGAGCTGTTAGGGTCTTTAGGTTTGTCCTGTTTCCTAGTGCTTGGTAGTAGCAGCTTTTAGATGATCATGGACTCTTTCACTAGAAGTTCTGTTTAGCTTTCAAGTAATCTCAGTCAGCCATTTCTTCAGAGATTAAGGATCCTGCATACTTGCATGGGAATTTTTCAAAAATTGGTGGTAGTTGCTCTTAGGAGCTCTTCCTTGATGCTTCAGTTTCTTCCGTCTGTAACAAGATATCACAAGTCTTGTGTGTTTTTCTTGTCCTCATGCTCTTTGCTATGGAGGGGGCCCATCAGCTGCCCCCTAACAAGGAGTATCTGCCTTACAAATCGCTGAGTTCCTGTGTCACCTGCTACTTAATTCGTGTACCTCCCCCTCTCTGTTCCCACCCAGCCAGGGAGGTGATGTTCCTCTGTCTCTCAGCAAGATACTAAAACATTTGAAAGGTTAGTTGAGCTTCCAAAACCACAGAGGACCTACCTACAGCAATGCGGTTAAAAATTAGTGCAGAGTGAAACTTGTGGTCATATCCATTTATCAAAGCCTGAAATTATGCCTGTCTGTGCTAATTTAATTTATTTAATTTTTAGGACACCTCTGCATCTCGCTTGTGCAAGCGGCCATGTGGATGTAGTTACACATCTAGTAGAAAACCAGTGTAAGCTAAATCTTTTTGACAATGATAACAAGTCACCACTGATGAAGGTATGTGGACTGTATTATGTTCTTGTAAGTGAGGCTTATTGATTATGCCCTAAATTATGTATTTTGCAGATTTCTTTATTTAGACCTGTGTAGAAAAATGCATATTGTGATTGATGTGGAAGGGCATATGTTAGCTAATCTTTGAAGGTGCTCTTATTTCCCAGTATTGGGAAGCTGGGGGAATTGTAACAGTGAAAGGTAACTGTTAGAAGTTTTTCCTTTTTTGTGTTTTGTTCCCAGGCAGTACAGTGCCAGCAAGAAAAATGTGTGGCTATTCTACTAGAGCATGGTGCTGACCCAAATCTGGCAGATGCTGACGGCAACACTGCCCTTCACCTGGCTGTCCTATCTCCTAATACCACTGTAGCAGGGCTGTTACTTGAGCATAATGCCAATATTAATGCTCAAAATAAGGTAAGGTTTTTTTATTTGTTGAAGAAGTTCTTTCAAAAAGTTGCATTCATATTTTTCTTGAAGATTTTTTTTACTTTTATTTTTAACTGTATCTGCCCTTTTAGGAGGGATATACCCCACTTATTCTTGCTGTCTCTGAACATCACGAAGAAATAATGGAGTTTCTTCTTAAAAAGGGAGCTAATGTGCATGCTCGAGATCGGTGTGAAAGGTGAGGGGTTTTCAAAACTCTACATGGGTCTCTTTAGTGTTCTTTAGGTTGGTTTGATGAGAGGCATAGGAATGAGCTCTGAAAAAAACCCAGGTAGCCACAGAGAAGCTTTTATTTCTGCGTGCCTTGTGGAAGTGGGTCATACCTCAGTGGCTTGCTGTCATTCCTCGGTGGATGTTTTCTGCAAGATGGTGTTGTCTGTGATGGCCTTTCTGGCAGGAAACCTGCCATTAGCTAAGCAGCATTGCCTCAATTTGAAAAGCCATCTCTTGCGTAGCAGCAGAGTTTGTATGTAACTGTTGTCTATGTGGAAGCTTTGTTTGAAGGTCAAACATTTGTTTTGACTTCTTCTCCCATTTTATTGTTTCTCATAATACCTAATGAAAAATGCTTTATCTTTTATTAATTTTAAAGTAATGGGGAGAATACTTTTTTGAGGGCAAACAGGAATAAAAATAATTACACTTTCTGTGTAAAACTATCTACTTCGTATCATATTTTTGGTGTTTCAGAACCCCACTTATGACTGCTGCTTCTGGGGGAGAGGTTAATTTGATAAAAGTTCTTCTTCAGTATGGTGCTGATCTTTCCCACAAAGACACTAATGGATGGACGGCTGAGGATTATGCTGTTATTCATGGATATTCTAGGTAAATTTTAAACTTTGTTGTTAGAGTAAGTTGTCAGTTATCAGTGTGGCTTTTGATCATTTTTGATAAGAGCACCAAGGTTTAATGGTGTATTGAGACCTGTATTGAAGCTGTGTTCAGTGGTGTCTTCATAGAATCATTTAGGTTGGAAAAGGCCTCTAAGATGATAATCAAGTGAAGACATCAACCTAACACTCCAAGCCCATCATTAAATCATGTCCCTAAGTACCACATCTACAACATCTTTTAAATACCTGCAAGGCTGGTAACTCAACAGCTTCCCTGGGCAGTCTGTTCCAATGCCTGACAAACCTTTAATTGAAGTAATTTTTCCTAATACCCAATCTAAACCTCCCTTGGCCCAACTTGAGGCCATTTCCTCTTTGTCTTCTGGTATGTATCATTCAAGTGTCTCATGTTAGTTTGGAAGTTGAGGAAAATTTCTACACAGAGTTCTCTGTTTAGTTTCAAGTTTTGCTAAGCTCACATCTGCCCAATGTATCCTACAGTTATCCAGAGGTGGAACTTGGCAGACTGAAACACATGTAAGCCCTCTCCCCCTCCCAGCACTGTTGTCCTTACTGGCTTCCACTACAACGACCAAGAACTACCAACCTGTTGTTTCAGAGGAGATACGATATGCCTTTTGTTAAAATCTTGAGCAGTTTTACTCCTCTTATGCATAGCTTTGTGCCTGTTGTTGTTTCTTCTCTAGGGCGGCTAAGATTGCTTAAAAGCTAAGCTGAAATACATGTACCAAGAAGGAGTTAATAACTTTGTAGGTTTGAATATGCGTCTATAGAGTGAACGTGACTGTAGTGAGTACTGGTGTATGTTACAGTCATGCAGTAAGTGCATATGAGTATATGAATCTATATGGCTAGGAATATGTGTGGGATGGATAATAAGTGGCTGTAAACTATTGAATGGTATATGCAAGTATGTGGTTATTTTTTATCAAATATATTTCCTCTCTTTCTGTATGCAGTCTTAGTAAGCAACTGGGAGAATATGCAGACTGGGAAAGCACAGAAGTTTCTGCAGGTGGTGCACAGGGCATCACGGTACTTGGCACTCCGCAGCGGAGAGGAGCTGCTGCCTTTACGTTGGGCGCACCTGCTGTGGACAGAGGAGGTAGGATCCTTAACTGTGGAGTAGCTCATGAGGAAAATCACTAAGGCCTTTTCTGTAGGGGATTTGTATTGTTAATGCTTACTGTGTTCACCATTGATTTTAGTGGCAGCATCAGGTGGAGCAGCACAAGTTTTGTGAATGTGCTTATTTGTTGCTAGTTGGAGGTGCTTCTTCAGGCTGCAAAAGCATTTGATTTGTGTGCTACGTGTCCAGTTCTTAAGGTTGTTGCCTTCTGTCTGAACGATTGCCCATCTATATAAGTTTTCATTGAGAGAGGGGGAGAAAGGCAGCCATAAAGAAAATAGGCAGAAGTGTTTTTCCTTTTCAGATATGTACAGTTTAGCCATAGATGGCCATTCAGATTGTGAAAATCCAATTACAAAAGCGGTAGGTTCATCCCTAATAGTTGTTCCTCTGTCTGTAGTTGGGAAGCAACAGAGGAATTAGGAGAAAGATACATCTTGTTGATTTTCATGGAGTTTATGTGTCTTTGTTTTAATATTAGTAGTTTCATCTGCACTAAGGTCCTTTTAGCAAGTCACCCTGTTTTTCAGCATCACTCACAATTGTTTCTGTGTAGGTGCTGTAGAGACATATTTAGGAAAAGTTATATTGTAAAAGTAAATTTCTTAGCAGTAGCATTGCAGTGTCTGTGTATGCTATATTGTCTTGGACATAGTTTGATTTACAATAAAAATAAAGCTTTTCAATAATTTTATGATTTTTTTTTTTAAAAACTGTTACTTGTGATTCAGAAAAACAATTAAATTGCCTTGTGATCAAAAAATCATTCAGTCGTTTAGTGAGTTTTAAAAATCTAACCTACACTTATGAGCTCACAGAGCCCTAGAGGAATCTTAGAAAAATAATATCATAGTATAAATGAAATAGTTTGTCTTGTACTTTACATCTCAGGCCTTACAAGTGAGAGGTTTTATTCTTTCTGAGTTTTTAAGGATGTTATGTTGGAACTATGCGGCAAAAGGGCAGAAGACAGTGTTCAAACACTATTCATTACTCCTTTAAATACAGTTTGTAACTCCTTTTTTTAAATATGTCAAGAAATACAAGCAAAATATGGGATATTTTTCCTCGCTGACTTTTCCCAGATGCAGGATTTTAATTTAGAGTCAGACTTTGTTGCTTTGACTTAGGAACAGTTGCTTTGATCTAGTTGGAGATTTGTAAAGTTTCTTGGTGGATTGCAGGAAATAATTTTTCTTTTTGAAAGGTCTTGGTACAGGTAGTAATGCACACACTTACTGTCTCTGAGAGATTAGTAGCATATAGAGAACATTTATTGGCATTAATTTTGCAGTCTCTGGCTTGTACATGCAGAGCACAGGTAGATCCTGTATCAGGAGAGTGTTTTTGATATGCTGCAGTAACAGATTTAGAAGTCTTTGTTAGAGGAAAAGCTGGAATGATCTTGAGAGTACAGAGAAACCCATTTTGGAATTACTTTTTCTTCTTTTGCTCTTCTGTACTATTTTTCTGGGATCATTTTTCAAAATACTCTCCTCTAATGTGCAAGTCAGCATATTTAAGAAGTTAGCTTTTGCTTATTTGAATATTTACCCTCTTTTTGTCCAATTTGTGCACATTTTTATTAATCATGGACAGATTTGCAAATATCTCCAAGTGAATGGTCCAGCCCTAACACATGGAGTGACAGACTTTTTAGATTTGAAGTTGGAATTTCTTTGGCAAAAACTAATAATTGTGCAATTTTTCTAGAGGCAAGGAGTCAATTTTTTTTTTTTTAGCTACTACACTGTATATTAGCGTGTTCCTTTTCCGTTTCCCTGAGTCCCTACAGAAACTGTTGGGTTTCCAGCAGAGAACTCTTAGAAAAGAAGTGCCTCAGTGTAATTTGTATCTCCCAAAGTCAGTAAAAATTGTCCTGTATCATCTCTTAAGAAAACTGAGAAATGGAGAAGGGATGAGAAACCATGTTAAGGTAATTTCTTAATTCTTTAAATGTATTTTTTTGATAAGAGTCCTTTTGCTACATTCATTCTGTGTGGTAAAATCAGTATAAGCAGGACTCTGCTCTCAACATTGTGAAGAAATTTGGTGTCAGGTAGCTGCAATAACTGAACTACACCATTCGTTGCCTTAAAATACAAAATTTTACTGAACAGGATGGGTAGAACAGGTGCATAGTGATTTATATTCTGAGCTTCTGTTCCACAGCACACAGATGTGCACACATACAGACACATATGCATGATACTCACACTAGTCAATTCACCCGTTTTGGTCCTGGGGGAACACTGTGACCTCTTGTCAGGTCTGTGTTCTGGCTGGTGATACAGACTCTCTATGTGAATGGTTCAGCATGGTCAGATCAATGTAAGCAGGACTCCTATCTACAGAGGTTGAGGGGTCTGTGTTTGCATCAGACATCGACACAACTTTTCAGGTGAGCTGGATTAAGGCAAGAAGTTACTAGGTTCCTTTTTTAGCAAGGGATAACAAACACGCTAAAACTGTAACTTAAGATGAGTAAGTGTAAATGACATAATGGCTCAGAGTTGCATGGTGGTGTGAGTACTAGGAGCCAAGATTTCCTTCAGATTTCTGGATAGTCTATAGCCAAAGTTTAGTTGTTGGCACATACAGATTTTTGGGATGCTTTGAGTAAGGACTTCTGTGTGCAGTATGTTTAAAGCACTCTAGAATTGCGTTTGCAGCCTGTGCTAGACAAGGAGTAGTCAAGCTGAGGGAAATACTAAAGTTGTCAGAAGAGTAAATTTCTCACGGTTTGTTTCAGTATTTCAAAATATTGAAATATGGATGTCTTACATGGAGCAAGTAAATGAGGTTACTGTTTGACACTGTACCTTAAGAGTAGAGTTCTATAGATTGTGATTTCTTTTGTTTCAAGAACTTACAACTGTAGAGTAGGCTGGCAGTCACAGTATATTCTCCCATTGCTGTAGCTGCTTTGATATACTGCTTATGTTTTCCAAGTTTCTGGGAATTTCAGTTTATTCTGATGTCATTATTTCGTCTGTCCTTTCCATGCCTTTTCCTAAATGGATATAGGAATTCAACAATCTCCTAACCAGACATCAAGAACAGGAAAATCAAGGAAAGGTATTTTATACAGTAGCATTTCAAATATGAAACATGTTGTACTATATCCAAATACTAACACATCTATGATGTTTATTATCCTGGAGGTCCCTATATTGATGGTATTGGTTTTATAAATTGTATTTGAGAGCAGCCTTTGAGTGTTTTTTATTTGTTTGCATGTTTTGCATTGGTTCTTTATTATTGAATTTAACATTTGCTTTGTGTCATTAGTGGTAATAAATAATTTTATTTTTACATATGTCCTTCTGTTAGTCTGAAAGGGAAATGGACTTCAAATCAAGTAGAAACAGTCTCCCTAGAGACTGCTTTTCTAGATCCCATTTCTACAGTAGTCAGAGTTCATCTGAAAGCTAGCTCATGAACTTTGCCTCTCTTGCCTTGTAAAGGACAATGTGACCTGGTCTTGATCATTGGTTCAAGTTACTATTCATTGAAAGCAAAAGTTCAGAAAACTGACTCAGCCATTTTGATGAATTACAACTGTACTAATTGAAAATATAATTGAAATCACCTATCAAGAGTGATAGCTGAGTGCTCCACACTGTCCGCCCAGCTCTAAGAGGCAGATTTTTATTCAGCTTGGGATGTTAGCAGGTAGATTAAACTGCTGGTACTGATTGAGATAACAGAAAACTGTTACAACTAATTAATATTTTTTAAATATTGCAATAGGAAACATTAAAAATTAGAGACTGTGTTGGTATTTTAACTGTTAGCTTGTCCTTGCACTGGAGATTTCAGCTTCTAGGTTTTATCTACATGACATATACACTGTATTTCATTGTCCAAAAGCCCAGTACAGGTCAGGAGATGTACTCATCAAAATTCCCACATAAGCCCTGTCTTTAGAACAGACAAAATTTGCATACTCATTTGTGGTTTACTGCTAGTACAGGAGATGTCTTCAGGCATGATATGCCTTTGTTTTCTTTTCCCTTGCATGATTCTGCACAAGACCGTAGTTTGATTGTCATCGTGCAACTCTTTGGAAGGTCACCAGTCTCTTATTTATAAGCGACTTCATTTTGTTATGATAGTTAACAGGAAGTAATTATCAAGAACTTGAGGAAGTAGCTGAAATAGCTACTATGTGGAGGTTGTTTCTGTTTTTCCCTTCTGTTTTGGGAATTGCAGAGCCCTTTTATTTCATCTTAGCTGTCAACAGTTGAGAGGTTTTAGCATTCTTCAATCTGGATTCCTGGAGTTCAGGTTTCTTTAGTACATCAGTGATGTGCTAGAGTGCACTCTCATCAAGTTTGCAAATAGCTCTAAATTGGGAGGATCAGCAGATGCACTTCAGGGCAGTGCTGCCATTCAGAGGCACTGTACCCTGACAGGGTGTGGAAATGAACCGTCAGGCCAGTCTTACAAAACTCAGCAAGGGCAACTGCAAAGTCTGTACATGGAAAGGAAACCAAATCACTACCAAACATGCTGGGACTGCCTGGCTGGAGAGCTGCTTTGCTGAGAAAGTCCGGAGGGTCTTGGCAGAGTGTGAGCTGTGAATGAGCCAGCAGGATGCCCTGGCAACAGTGTCCTGGGTTGTATTAAGAGCAGCATAGCCAAGAGACTGAGGAAAGTGATTATCCACTCCTGCTTGGCACTTGCTGGATTGTGTCCCGCACCCTGGAATTCGAGCCTCCAATGCAAGAGAGATTGATTGGTCTTTCAACAGTGAGCAATGGAGTTCAGTGGAAGGCCATCAGATTCATCAGGGGCAGGAGTACTTGCCCTTTGAAGACAGGCTGAGGAAACCAGGCTTTTTCAGCCTAGGGAAGAGGTGACTTTGATGGGGACCTAGCAGCAGCTTCTAGTACATATGAGAAAAAGCCAGGTGCTTCCCAGTGACAGGAGGAGAGATGCAAGAGGCATAAATAGAAATGAGTTTCTAATTGGATGTGGGAACAGTAAACACAGTAAAACAGAGACATTGTAGAGTCTCCCTCCTTGGAGGTGTTCGAGACCAAACTGGATAAAGCCCTAAACAACCTTCCCTGACCTCATAGCTGAGCCTGTTTTGAGAAGGCGGTTAGCTAAGAGACTTCCTCCCTGGCCTTATTTATCCTATGATCCTATGTACAAGTAGCTTGGAGCATAGTATAGAATGCCCTGGTTTTGCCCCTTTTGTCTGCTGAACGCCCTTTTTGGTGCAGAGTAGAGAACTGCTGGTGATTCTTCTACTTGAGAATAGGCTTTAGATCTTGATTATGTTTTTTAATTTTCTTTACTTTTTCAGAATAATCTGTAACTGGGTAAAGCAGCAGATAGCATAGTATATAGCATAATGTTATGCATAATGCTACTTCAGTTAGTAAAATCTCTGCATGTGATGTGTTCTGATGTATAATATGAATACTTTGGAGGTTCTTTTATTTAATGTCTTGCTAAACCACCACCATTTTGTTCAGTGTTAACTAACATAGCATATTTCTGCTACGCTTTTTCTTTTTTTTTTTTTTAAGTTTAGACTTGTTTCTTAAACTTTTAGGTATAAGCATCCAAAGGGGATATACCCCTCCCCTCCCCTCTCCTCCCCTCTTCTTTCTTTTCTTTTTAATTCAGTGTCATTTGAAAAAGCAGTTTTGTTTTGGAAATGCATTCATTCATGCCACCTCTATTGAGCTGACTACCTGAAGCATCATCGTTCTATTACGACCTGTAGAGTTCTCCATGTTAAATGTTTATATGTGCTAGTTAATTTTTAATGTGCCAAATCTAATTTCAACTAATGTCAATTAATGTTTGAACAGCAACAGATGACTTTTCCCAAGGAGACTCGATAAGGTGAGACTTTAAAAGTACCTAACACTTACCTGAGGAGTTATCTGAGCGACATAGTACTCATTTTGCTTTGCTTTTCAAGAAGCTCTGAGAAAGAGGGAAGCGATGACAGTTGGCATACCTCTGAGGAAGAGGAACTCGATTTTACCCCCAAGGTATGGTGCATTTACAGGAAAAATGTCCTGAAAAAATAAGGGATTTGAAGGCAAGTTTTCTTTGGGATTGAAAGATGCTGCTGTTCCAACCAATATTGTTTTCTCTTTAGAAACAATCTCTGTCCTGCCAGCCTTTCTTCTGCTGTGAGTTTTTCCTAAAAGACCTGTAGCTGGGGCAGAGCATGCAGTATATTTGTAGTTTGGAGCAAAAGAGCAGTAGGTGACAAGATAAACAGCCATGTAGTTTTATTTGTTCTTGTTCATTTGAGTCAGATTTGCAGACCCTAAATGTTTTTAAGTTACTATTATAACCTAATCTGTTCTCTCCATAACCTGTTCTGTTCTTCTCCAAACATTGTTATTGTTTTGTGTAAATTTGGTGATAGATTCCTAACTGATAAAGAAAAACGACATTTACTTATCAAGATCTACATAAATCCTTCTTCACCTAGTTTTCCTTTCCTCCTCAGCAGGTTCCTCAAGAGTGCTTAATGAATGGATGGCTCATATGGGTCGTCTTTTTCCTTTTATAAGATGGCATTCTGTGCTTGCATGTGATCTCACACTGCATGTTTTACCTCTGTGTCTGAATGCTCGGGTGGTATTCTTTTTGTCAGTGACAAACTCTCACACCTACTGATTTTACTAATGATCTGGAGAATTATCAACTTCTGAATGGTGTCTGGAGCATCTGTTCTGTTTCACTGGAATTCTGCAGTGATGAGGAACTGGAGCATGATAGTTCAACCCACTCTGTAATGCTGGAGGTGCAAGCATGTTTAGTTTTAACATGATTTCATTTTCTTGCACTGATTTAAATAGAAATTATGCATTTTTCTGCCATGATTTTGAAATTTAGGGGTATTTTGCTAAGTGTACTTGCAGGGACTAATTTATGCATTAAGTCTAGGGATCTTAACAGTTACTTGAGTAGTGCACATTTGTAAGTAAGCATGCTGGAACTGCTATCTTGAATATAGCTGAATTTTACTTAAGTATTATAAGTACTAGAAACAGATTTTTAGAACTGATATGCACGCAAACATAATTTTGGAAGCAGTTTGCAGAAGGGTGCTAGTTTGCTCAGTGTGAAATACTCCCTGAATTGCATACGTGAGGAGTTTTTTTGTAGTTAGAAATATAGGATGAAGTCACCACTATCATAAGGACAGTCTGATTATATTTACTGTCTGATTATATTTACTGTTCAAGATTTGATATGAACAAAGAATTTCTTGTTGTTGTTGTTAAAAAAATTTTAAATAAATCTTTGTTTACAGAAGCTGCAGAAGCCAAACTTGACACTGCTAATGAATGCTTCACAGCAGTTCAGGAAAAAAAGTAAGCTATTTGGAAAAGGTTGCATGATATACCAATATATATAAGTAGACTTCCTAAGTAGGTTTTTGGGTTTGTTTTTTTTAATTTTTGCTATAATAAATGAGAAAAGTAGCATTTTGAAAACACAGCATTTAATAATTCAGAATAAAATAAGTCATTAAGCCTTTTTCCCCCATAAAGTCCATCCTCCATCCTGCCCAACCTTACCTGTCTCATTTTCCAGACATTCCTAGATGGCTCCTCTCCTGCGCATTAATCTAATAACATTGCTGTTTACTTAACTCCTGTTCACATGCATTTTCCCTTTTCTTGTGCTTTAAGATGATGATGGTGGTTCTAGAATTGAAAGTCCTAAGTCACCAAAGAAAAGTCTCAAACAGCGAATCCCATCAGATGCAAACCTGAACAAAGGAGACAGTGAGGAATTGTTTAATCAAGATGTCTCAGCTGCAAGCAACCTGGAGGAAGAAGAATTGGAGGAGGAGGAAGAAGAGGAGGAGGAGGAGGAAAATGATGATGAAAATCACAATGGAGATGGTGATGAAGATTACGAGGAGGAAGAGGAGGAGGATGATGAAGATTTTACTGAAGATGGAGAGGAGGAGGAAGAGCTGGAAGATGAAGAAGCTCAGTCTAGTGAAATACTGGAAGAGGAGCAGGGGAAAAAAATGGAACGTAAAGGGGAAATTAATGGGAAGTTAGAGTATATTAGTAAAGCTAAGTATGAAGAGAAAGCTCAGTGTGGAACTGGCACTATCTCCATTGATGATAAAATAAGTAAAGAACATGATGAAAAGCAGGAGGAATCTGTTGATACTCCTGTGTCTTTCATAGCTGGGTGTTATGAAAGGTTGCTAGAAAATAAAACATCAATGTCTCCAAAGTTCATGAATAATGAAGTATCTTGCAAGTCAGTACCAAAACAAGCTGTCTTTCAAAATCTAAATAATCTTCAAGATACACAAGAAAGTTGGAACAGGAAAAGCATGATTCAGGAGAAGTTTCACAGAAATGCTGACTTCTGTTTTGCAGACTCTGAAATGACAGATGGGAAAAAAGAGATGCCTCCCCCTCTCTCAAATAGTTGTGGTCTTAAGGAGAAAAAGTCAAGCTTCAGTGATGACTTTGAAAGTGGTAATAATTCTTGGTCAGCAGCAAAAAATCCAGGACTTGAAAGTGAAAGACCAAGCTCTGCCATTCTTGAACATGTGAGTGATGAAGATACTGAAGAAGAGCAATATGAAGGAGTAGGTGATAAAATCTGTGAACCACTGAAACAAGAAAGTGAAAACTTGCACTTAAATAGATATGAAGAAAATTTGAGAGCATTTCATTCGAGCAGCAAAGTAAGTATATAGGGATGATTCAATCACAGAGATATTTCCTAAGGGTTATATAGGTAAGAAACAAATGGTAAACTGGATTTCTGTTAATATGTATTCTTCACATATATGCATCTTTTGATCATCCATTTTTAACGTTAGATAATGTCTTACTCCTAGCCGAAAGAGTTTCTTTGTTATAAGAATATGGTTTTGCAGGAAAAAGAATAGGCAGTAGACTCTGGAATCAGTTAGAATTTTCTCAGTTCTATATACAGTTTTTATCTGTGAAGATTTACTGCTGTTTAGGAAAATGCATGGTGCGATGGCTGAAAGTGAGGAAACAAAAAGAAATTTGCATAAGATTGAGAGCAGGAAGCTAGTGATTTTCCTTGGAGCAAAGTAGGGGAAGAAAAGGCATATGTTCCAGAATGACATAACTTAATGAAGCTAGAGGTAGGCTGACCTGAGGAATTGCTGATGGAGGAACAGCAAAGACAATGCTTATTTCTGTTCTTTTCAGCTGCTTTAGTTGATCTCTTTTAGGAAGAATCACCTGAACAGGAAGAAGAAGTTGAGAAGCAGGACAAGGAAGACAGTGGCGAAAAGCTAGTTGCTGAGGATGTGAAAAATTCTGTTTGTAATGATATCTGTGAAGTCCACAATGTTTCAAAAGACGACTCAGGTGAGAGAAATTAACTAAAATGGTGATTAACTTCTGAGATAGCGAAATTTTCCCTTGCCTGTGAATCCCATTACGTATTGGCAGAGAAAGAAAGCAGCTTTTATTCTTTTTCGTTCATTCTTGAAGAACTGAAATTGTAGCACTGTATTCCAAGCAATGCTATATGAAGTGTGAGGTAAACATATGCAGGTATTCTTCCCAAGAATGCCAAGACAATGGAAGGATTAAAAAAAAGAGATTTATTTCAGATGCAAGGACCACTTTTTTACAATGTTGCATGTATCAGGGCCTCCGGGGCACAGGGAATGCCCCACCTCCTCCAATGCTTTTTGTATCGTCTCTCTCTTCTCCCCCACCCTCTCTGGCCCAAGGAGGCCTTGTACCTTTTATCTCTCTGCATACCAGAGAGCAAGGCTGAGAACATCTCTTGCTATGCAGGGGAGGGAAAGCATTGAAACTGCCTTTGAGAAAGAGTTACCATTTAGGCAGAAAGCCTTCCTAGCGAGAGGAGTTCTAGCTTTCTGTTACAAATTCTTCCGGAAATGTATCTATTTCTACAGAACCAAGTGCCATTCTTGATTTCTTGCTTTGTTCCTTCTGAAGTGATCTGAACAAAATGAGCAGGCGAAAAAGAGGAGGAGGACTAGAGTGTCTTGTGTGTGACAGTAGTATTCCCATTTTTCTGACCGGTACTGTCAGATTGACAAGCTGGGATTGCTCTTGGCTCAAGCCTGCGAAAGATTGGAGTCAAGCTGAGAGCACTCTCTTCTGTTCCAGTGCCTCACCTTGTCCAGTTTTAAAAAGTAGAGGGTTTCTCCAATGCCACACTTGTCTATGCTTGAAAACATTACCAGCCTGGTCAGAGTTGAGCACTTTGGTACTTACCTGAGGTCTGAGGGCAGGAGGGGAAGGCATCGTTTCCACTGTCCATCTCCAGAGAGTAGCTTGGTGTGGTAGGTGTTACCAGAGCACGTGTAGCTGGTGATCAAATGCTGCATGGGGCCTGCCTGGCAGAACCTGCTGTATTCAACTGTTGTGTCTCTACATGCTCATCTGTCTGTATGCATTTTACCATAGGCATGCATTTTGGCATGGTGTGAGTAGTCAGAGTCCAGGCTGGAACCAGCAATTGCTTCTTCTGGGGTGGATGCCCTTACTGGTCTCTAGCTCCTTCCCGCTTCTTTGTGTGTATGTATCTACACAGCTGAATCCTGAATCTGTTTTACCCAATGGAGTCACTTAAAATGGAGAAATAGGATAGTACAATCTGGCCAAGAACCCACTGAGACTGAACATTACAATCATCTCACTGGAGAAGAGGTTTGAATTTTAATCCTCTGAGATAGAAACGGCTTTTGTGTCTTTGGGTAAGTGTTTGAGCTGTGAGCCTCTACTCTATTTTTAAAAGGCAGTGCTTAGGTGTCCAGCTTCTGGGAAGGTGCAGTGTAACAACTCTGTCAAGGAAGATCTTTCCTGGTAGTTCTACAAAAGAAATGTTGTCTCTTGGTGACTTCAGTGATGTTAGTGTGAGGATGCTTTGGATAGTGTTTCTGTGGCACCCCTGTACAGTGGAAAGTGATAGTAAATGCCAAATTCTGGAGCTGTAGGCTGCAGAGAGGTGACCTAAACTCTGCACACAACAGGACTGCAGCAAACTGGAGTCTCTTTCTGAATGTTACTCAAACGAGTTGGGTATTGCCTGTAGCTGTGTCAGGTGTTGTGCATAGCCATCTTCTGCTGGAAAGGAAGGAAAAGGAAAGGAAGGAAAAAGGAACTGGCTATGTAAGGGACATACCACGAAGTGTCTGTGTGTGAAGAAACTCTTTATCACGTGAAAAGGGGAGATTTTCTCAACCCTTAGTGTGGGGAGATTTCCTTAACCCTCAGTGATTTGTTTATCTGTCAGCACCCCAGGAAAGCTGAGACCCTTGTGCTCAACCTTGTCCTGTTATGGAGACCCATCACCTAACAGTCCTGCTGGATCAGAGGGCAATTCGACTGCCCATTTCAGGGGGCTCAGCCAACAGCGTAAGGGAGACCCCTCAGTGGGTCTTCCCAGTTTATTCAAGTGTCTTACTCACTGCCAGCAACTGCCAGCACCTGTGAAGGACTCACTCGAACAGTTTGCAGAACAACACTCTTTATTAATACAAAATTGTGATAGGTTAAGGTTCAAGGATCACTGGTGATAGTATCTGACTGCAGAGACACTTTTAAAGCAATACACAGACAAGCTCTAATCCCAGTAAAAATATGCAGTGTGTGTAGAGTGCAGTTCTTACCCAACAGGCTCCCTACAGGTTCAGCCCATCAACTGATCGCATCAGTTACAACGGAGTCTTCCCTAACTGTTCCTGCATTCTCAACTTTCTTTTATTGCTTTAGGTTTAGGTGAAACTTGAGTGACTTTAGTCCTAAATACCTTTGTTACTGATTGGTGTAAAATTCTTTCACTTTGCTTTTAAAGATACAGTCAAAAAATATAGAGCATGTGCCCAGGGGGGAGTGGTCATACCTTGGAGGTGGATAACTTTGGGATGGAGGTGTGTGTTAATATTATAATTAGGCTTTAATGAACCAAGTTCATCCGAGGAAAGAGATTTTGCCACAGTTGTTGGCTCAGCAGCAGGACATCTTCTGTCTTCCTTGACAGGTGCTATGTGGGTTATCAGCTGCAAAGTGCCAGTGAGTTTCCTTCCCTGCAGGGATTTCCACAGAGCCTGGCCATGGTGTCTCCACTCCACTCCACCTTCCGTTCCATCCCTCTTAGCAAGTGGTTACTGTTGTGTGGGGAAACATCATGGAACGTGCCAACTGCATTCCATCGAGGGAATAGCAGCTGCATTTTACCCCGTGATTTCCGTACTGTTATAACTTGTGTGAGGATGGGAATATAACTCATCGGTTTCCTCTAATTTTTACCGCCAGCCATCTTCCCACACTCTTGAATAAAACTCACTTCTTAGTTTGTCCTCAGCAATATAACCTGCATCTTTGGGATGCAAGGCTTGACTGATTGGGAAAAGCAGAGTGGAAATGTAAGCACTCAAGCATCTCACTTCTTACTTGATTTGTAGGTGCCCTGCCAGCAGTGGGAGCAGAGCAAGAGGAAGATGCTGAATCTCCCTGGGATTCTGAGGTACTTTGTGTGAAGGACACGGGTGTTCTCACTGCAGGGGGATAGGAGTAAGATCCAGAAGCACTTGAGAGCTTGCTTTTGGCTTGGGCTCTACTGTTGATAAGGCTTATTTCCTCTTTTCCTGTTTTTTCCATATGTTTGTAACTGGGGGACCCTTTAAATATTTCTGTTCTAGGTCAGCTGTTCAGTTAGGATTGGGGTGAAGTTAGGTCAAGCCAACAGCTTGGGTCTCATAACAACTGGCCTCTGAGTTCGGTTTCTAATATAATATTGAAGTAGTGAACTTCTTGTTGCTTAAAATACTCTGACCTTTTCCCAGAGGCAGGCAGGATTGATACTTTTTTACCATACAGCTCTAGTCTTCTGACCTGATCAGCAGTTGCCTCTGCGGTCTACAACCTAGACAGTTACCTGCCTCTGAATAGATCCTCTCTACCTCTTGTAGTGTAGTCTGGCCCTTTTTGAAAGTTATGTTCAACAGAGACACCACATATGCTGGCTGTGTTTTCCTTTTTAGTTCTTTCTATTCATGGTAATGAGCAGCGTCTATAGCTACGCCACTCTGGCTTTTCTTATGAGGAAAAATGAAGTCTTCCCATGCCTTTCTTAAAACTACAAGACTAAAATGTTATTATTTTTAAGGTAGCTGTAAGCTTTGCCTTGCTAGTCTTTGACCAGCCCAAATGACCCTTATGACTGAGAATCGTGCTGTGTTCACTCACTACTGCAGGATACATGCCTAGGGAACATCAGCACAAACTTGAATGTCAGGTACAACTTCAGTGGAAATATTGGTTCACTGCAGACCTGCAGCTATTGATTCACAATCTGCATCTTGAGTTACCACATTAATTCTCTTCTGTGGCTGTCCAGTTTGTCAGTGTGACAGAATAGTTTAGATGAGTTGTGAAGGTGTTGCCTAAGATCTGGAAACAGACACAACTGCTGTGATTTTCCAGTATACTATGTCTTGATGCGTCCTTTCCAAGGCTACAATAAAAAGGTTTTGTATCTCTAATATACTTGATGTCATGCTACACAATTTGACTTAAGCAGCAACTTTTTGCGTAGAAATGATTGAAAATGCATTTGTACCAGTTCTCATTCATGTGTTTTGGGTTACACAGGCAGATTCTCAAAGTCTGAGAAAAGTGTCATCCAGTATGTTGCTCCCAGCTGCAGAGAGACATGGAGTATGCTCCCTTCTTGTTTCAGGGGAACACAACAATGGTAACTTCCTGGTGGCCTAGTGTTTGTCTGTAAGCTTTTATAGGCTGAAGTGAACTTGTATGAGTGTCTGCCTTTCAAGTGTTGTCATGATGTGGATGTGAGCTATACCTGTGAAACGCTTACTGTTAATTAATGCCTTATCACAGCGCTTGCTGACCAGTTTGCAGAGGAAGTTGTTTGCATTACGTGTGTTATTTGGACGTGTTTCTAATTTTTTTGGTTCAAGTTCTTGTTGCATAGTGATGAAAGTATATGTGGTTTAGGATTGACCCTTTCTGAACATTTAACTTTCTTGGATGATAATGCAGTGGAAGACAGCTGTGATCTGGCTAAGCATTTTTTTTTCCTCCTAGCTCAACTTTTGATAGCTTTTTATTATACTGTACGTAGGGGCTAAAATAGGACTAAAAGTTCATGTTTTGTTGCTGAGGATTTCTGCCTGTAGTTTGTGACACTGTCTCCTGAGCATCTTGAGCAAAACATTATGAACTCCCAGGAGCTTGAAATGTAGTTGTTAAGTATTTGTTGTGGAAGTCTGCTTTGCATGATTCTACTAAGACATCAGTGTGAAAAGAGGGTAAAAGGTTATTATGGTAATCTTGCTAAGGTCTTTTCATCCTGCTAGATGACCAGGTTTAGTGAACTCAAATGCTGTTTTTTAATGTTAGTTTGGATTTTTTTAAAATACAAAATTTTTACCATGGAGCCATGTTTAGTAATATTTCATACACTTATTTCGTGAGAGGACTCAAAGATGTCTGTAAGATGACTAGCATAGAACTTTTGAGAAATATAGGTGGGGCAGTAGATTCTGTGGGTTTGGAAATGATTCAATGTTGGGCAAAATTAAAAAAAAACAGTATTTGGAACTGTGCTATAAATGTAACTTACAACTAAACAACATTTGTTTCTATTGTTCCCACAACAATCTGATGAGGGCTGCCTTGCTTTTACCTTGTTACACATATATGAGGTTTCTGTGTCTGCATTCCTGCTATCAATGCAAAGAAAAATGTTCCTCAGTATTAAGCACTTGTAGAATAATCACAGTCATAATGCTGTTTTATGATCATTCATTGCAGCAGACCAGCTTTGGCTTTTGAAATAATCATTTTAGAAAACAGGATTCAGTTCCTCAAAAGAACTATAAATATTTTGATCTTGTTCTGTTAACAAGCATGACCTTATTGCTTCACATAAATTGTCTTAGTTCTGTGATAATTATTTTTTAAATCCAAGGTTCATGATGGGAAATATGCATTGTTCTTTTCCTGTATCCTAATGCAAGTGCTGCGTGATGAGGTAAATTGAATGTTAGGTATTGTAATCTTGATGAAATAATGCTTGTGACTTGTTTCTGCTTAGTTGTAGAAACCACCGATGTTGAATGGAGTAAAAGATACCCACAATTAAATAACGTTTTCCAAAACATTTTTCACCTCCAGGTTTTTTTGAGAAACCCAACAATTCACAGGTGAGTATTTTTTCATATCAGACTAACTACTTATTCTGCTCATTAAGTAGTATGTAGTTACTTTGAATTTGGTGTTTTATCATTGAATTGTCTTTCATAGCTGAAGACTTCCAAATCTGCTTTGGAAATGAATGAAACCTCTCCTAAAAACAGACAGCAGAAATCAGGTAATGTTCTCTTCAAGTGGTTTTGGATTTAGCGTCATAATTTTTTAGGAGTATTTAGTGAGGCATCTGTTTTGTGTTTGGCAGATCTATTGCAGGAATTTGGTTTAGAAGATGCCGAGGACATTGAAGGTATCGTAACAATCTGTTTGTAATGTTCTTTCATGGACAGACACATTGTACTTGCAAATTTTTTCCTGATATTAAATTAATGTTTCTAGCAAGGTATTCTGGAAGCAGGTGGTCTGCTGAAATATGCACCCGTATATGTGTTTGGTCCCTCCTGTAGTCTGCCATTCAACACTAAATACCCTTCCATGACATAGGCTTCCTCCAGCATTCATGCTGTCATCTCCCCTTTTCTGGCAGTCCTGAATTTTGCTTTCCTTCCAATTTGCATGCTATTTTTTCATATTACAAGCACTGAAGGCAGGTTGTAGCCAGGTGGGTGTTGGTCTCTTCTCCCAGGCAACTAGCAATAGGACAAGTGGACGAAGTCTTAAGATGCGCCAGGGGAAGTTTAGGTTAGACTTCAGGAAGAAGTTCTTTATAGAGAGAGTGATTGGGCATTGGAATGGGCTGCCCAGGGAAGTGGTGGAGTCACCGTCCCTGAAGATGTTTAAGAAAAGATTGAATGTGTCACTTAGTGCTGTCATCTCGTTGACAACGTAGTCAAAGGTTGGACTCGATGATCTCAGAGGTCTTTTCCAATCTGGTTGATTCTTGATTCTGTGATTCTGAAAGACTGCCTTTCCATAGCTCATTTCAGGTCAGATATTTTTCCTGTGTGTCTTTAATCATTTGTCATGTTGGTTTTTACCCATGTGTTATCTTGAAGATCAGATATTGAAAAGTCCATGTGAAAATTTCTTTCAAATGTTTATATTTGGACTTGAATTTAAGTAATTTAAATTGCTTCAGCAAAGCATCACAATTCCTGAAGCACAAATATTTCTAATTCTAAAAGGGCTAAGTGGTATCATTCACAAGTTTATTTAATAAATATGGGAAATAGGTACAGTATCTTGCACAATTAAATGTTGAATGAGATGAAATTTCCCATTCTATTTACTTTGTTGCTGACTCATAGTAATAACTTCTTAAAATCTATTTTTAGGTCAAAATTAAGTAGTGGTATTCTCATGTTTTCAGTGCAGGAAGGTAGCTGCTTTACACTTTAATCTGGAAAAAGTAATTTTGTAAGACAATTTATGAGGAGGGAAATGTCAGAAGACAGCAGAGAGGTAAAGACTAATTGGAAAGAACACTAAAAGTCATCTTTTAATGTCAGCTAGAGAACGGGCAGAGTAAAAGGTGGGGAATTTGCATCTTTTGTATGCACAGTGATTTGTGTTAGGCACAAAGCCAGATTCATTTAACCCCACTGGAGGTATCAATTAATAAAAATACATGCTGGTAATAAATGACTGGCAAAGATACTGGTTAATTTGCTTGAGGGGGGAGGTTTTAATATTTTTTTTATGGCAGGCACTTCAGAAGCTTCAGACCAGTGTTCTACCAATACTTTAACTAAAAATTTCTCCCTGTGCTGAAAGTGAAAAAATCTTAACAGTTAAGAGTTATCCCTCTTTCACAGGCAGTTGCCAATAATACAGAAAATAGACTCCTTAATCACCACTCCAAGAAGAGCAGTGATTTTATTTTCAACAGCTAATGAGAGAAGTTCTTGGGTTTTTTCAGTTTATTTTTGAATTATTTTTCCAATCACTGGTAAAAGAATTACCGACACAATGAGAGCTGGAATTTTGAAGATGGAATGACATTGTTGCCTTTTGTCTTTCCTGCCTATAATGTGCCCACTATAGAGAAATTTCAAGATTGATTAAGCCCTATGTGAAGTAAATCTTATGGGCTCCAGAGACCCTGAAATCTTATCTGAAGACTGAGATTTCAGACTCAAATAGCTGCTACTGAAGACTTTACTGATGAACAAGACTGAATAGGAGTTTGTCTTCTTTTGATTATAGCAGTCTTGCTATAATTTATGTCACTCTCTACAGTAACTTCTATGGTGCTATCGACAAATGCTCCCTGGCCACCAGCACATCTGTTCTTTGTTTTTACTCCTGATCGAAGCCTTCACCTGCACCAGCAAACAGCTTGATATTGGGATAGCTATAAGGATGAGTCAAGTCTAAAGCTAACTCTATGATGTGGAAAATAAGAAAAAGAGGGCAGTGCCTGTGTTCCTTATAGAACATTATCCTTCAATAATTATTAATTATTGCTGTTATTATTGTCTTTAATATTTGTCACACTGTCTGCAATGCATCACAGTCATCAATACATCATCATAACAAACCTGTGAAATAAGTGCTGCCAACCCACTAATGACTACTTTGTGTTGGGAAATACCTTGTGCTGAAATGCTCAAAAACCAAATCTACAAAAAAATCTAGGAAATTCTACCCAGCAGTGACTGAGGTGGGAGGAAAAGGTTATTTCACACTGTGTAACTTGGGGTTAAAATCAACTTCTGGAGACCTATATGAATGACTGAAGAACTTGGCTTCCCAGTTCAGACATATGAGTTGAAACTCTAAGCTTGTAATCCCCTTCAAGAAATGAAAGCTTTTGAAAGTAGTCCCCTAAAGCAGAAAATGCCAGAAATGAGATTGGCCCTGTGACTCATTAATACTGTGCCCTTTATTTTGTATTTTCATGATAATATCTACCTATTTTTCTCTGTCTTGTTTTCTTGTAGGAAGGGTATTGTGTCTCTCTTTAGCAGCGACACTTTGTGCATAGAAAGGCTGTTGCATAGAAATCATAGAATTATGGAGCAGGACAAGAGATGCAGAGTGATTAAAGTGAAAAGCCTCCATCTCTTGTGTTTAGATTCCACACTTGAAGTGCTGGGACTTGTTTCTTTCTGAATATTTGTTACTTAAAAGTGTTCAGTGTGCCTAGACAGAGCGACTGCTTCTGAGAGGTTTGTGACTGCCCATATTATATAGAAATTCCGAGAGAGGGAAGAGTGGAATCCAGTTTTCATCAGTATGAGTGAAATATTCAGATCACTGTTTCTCAACGTCACGCAAGTCTGTATTTCATTTAGTGTCCCATCCATGTCTCCTGCAACAATTTGAAATACTCAGTCCAGATCCATGTCTAAAGACAGATTTGTTTCATGCATAGAGTAAAGCTGGGGCCTCATAAGATTTCAAAGCTTTAATTTTTTTCATGATTTTCTGTGCTCAGCATATAGGGAAATTAAAATTGCTGGAGGAACATAACTAGTTACTGTATAGCACACAGTGTGTCAGAGAAATTGAGATCACATACCTTTAAGAAACTAGATTGGTTTACTTGTGCCCATTGGTAGTGAATTCCAGCAAATTTCCTTTATATATTAAAAGGTAAAATGCCCTGTATGAAAGCAATTCACACAGATGCATCTTAAATCTCTATTATGGTAATTTTCTCTCTAGGAGCTCACAAATTAGAGGGGATGTGTTAGTTTGTGTTAAGATTTGTCTCACTAATATGATACAAGATGCACTCTAGGTATAAATAAGTAGAATTAGGTTCATCATCATCATGGCTAGGCTTCGCGAACGAAGATTTGGGAAGGCTCTATCCACATTTGCTACAGGCACGCTGGTGGCTTATGAGGCCAATACGTGACAGACATATCCGATTGCAAAAGGCACAGCAGAAAGACTCCTTAGATGGTGTATTCTGCAAGACACGGTTCTTTCCGCGTTGCCTTTTTTCCTTGAGAGTGATCCTATGTGTGTTCTCGAAGGAGACAGCTGCGTTATAGATGGTGTGTCTCCAGGCCTCCCAATTGGAGGCCAGAGTAGACCAGTTATGGTGATCAATATGGCCAAGGCTGAGATGTTGTTTCAGGGAGTCCTTGTATCTTTTCTTCGGGGCTCCTCTCATGTGACAGCCAGTGGCAAGTTCACCATAGAGCATGAGCTTAGGGAGGTGGTGGTCCTTCATCCTTGAGACGTGCCCTGCCCATCGCAGCTGTGTTCTCAGTAACATGGCCTCAATACTTGTGACAGCTGCTTGCTCTAGAACAGATGTATTGGTCACGTAATCTGACCAGTGGATGTTTAAGATTGAACGGAGGCAGCGTTGATGGAAGCGCTCTAGGAGACGTAGGTGGTGGCGGTAGATGGAGAATTAGGTTATACAGTTTATCAAAATACTTGTTTTCTCACTGTAGGTGAGTACTCAGGATCTACCTTTCATATGTCATCATCAGCTGAAAAAGAAGATGTCAAGGATGCCCTTGAAAACTATGGGGTGTGGGTATGTAACACCAAATATTTTGAATTAGAGTCTGAATCAGTAAATTGTATTATACGCTAATGTAAAGAAAACTTACCAGTCAATGAATAATTCTGAAGGGAAAGTCCTGTAGAAATTACAGCCCAAAGTAAAGTGGGATGCAGTCTTCTTATGGTGGGGAAAAATTCTTATAATTATGTTAGATACTTGCTGTTACACTAATTTGTTTCCAGCTGGTTTGCTTAAATTTTGTTCAGTGTTTTTCCTTTTGCATGGTGCTGAGAAACAGTGCAGTGAAATTCACTTTTTTCCCTATGCAAAAGGCACATTCAAGTAAACAGGGAGATTTGTATATAATATGCTGATCTGTTTGATTAAACATGCCAGGTAAAAGAAGGATGAAATAAAAAAATTTAAATATTGTGACCTTCTTGATGCTTTCTCTGCCTCTGCAAAATACGTGCTTGTTTGGCCATGTTAGTAAGTGTTTGAGAAAGGTTTTGTTTTTTTTTCCAGAGGGCATTCTAGAGAGAAATAAGGCACCTTGGAATTTAAAATTTCTGTATCTTGGCTGAAGAAATAGGCCTACCTTAGCCAATTCTCTGTGTGGTGGACAGTAAAAAGCTTGTCACGGTGTATTAGCTTAGCTAGCTAATACACTGCCGGACAGTAGAAAACAATGGAGAATGGAGGATGAGAAAATGTTGGCAGTTACAAAGAAAAATGGTATTAAAACAATAAAACATGAAAAAATAAATTGCTTTCTAACAAAGGCCACCAGTTAGAGAAAGCAGGCAGGCTTGAAGATAAAAGTAACCCTAATGTCCAGTCAAGTCTAATCTAGAAAAACTGTTGTCTCTAAAGTAAGTCCTTCTGTTTTTAAGAAAAAGATGATTCAGTGACCGTTAATTTAGTATCCCTTGCTTTGTATTATAAAAATTGTTTCAAAAATATCTTGATTCTATTATTTCTGTTATGTGATAGGATGAGTTTGCAACAGAAATGACTTAGATTAACTGTAACTTCTTTTTTTCTTGGTAATCTTTTTGTCTGTACCTGTTTATTAAGGATAAGTATATTTTAGAAACTACCAACTTGATAGAAAAAAGAGCACATGAAAATCAAATTGACAAAGCAGAAATTTCACATCAGGAAGCCCTAGCAGAAAATGAGGAATCGTACAGTACTGATAAGGAGTTAAGTCTGAAACCTTGGGAAGAAAGATATGAAAAACTGTGGATTGAAAAGGAGAAAAGGGAATTGAAAACAAATTTTAAAAACATTACAGCAGAGCTGAAGCAGTTGTTTGGTGAAAATGAAACTGGGAAAACTGCTTCCCATGTGAAAGAAATCCCAGAAGATGGCTTTGGTGAAAAACTGAAGAGTTCTCGCATTATTTCCTCTCCTGTGACAGAATCAAGTAGTAAGTTAGAAAGCAAAGGTGAATTTGGAGATATTAAACTTATGCTAGATGGAAAAGTACCCCAAATGAAAATTGTAATTCCGAGTCTTGGTATCCTTCCTGATGAAAATAGCTTAAAGGCAAATGTGGAAGATACCTGGAATAGAGATGAAGAAGATGGCACTAACAATATGGATAACAGAAAGGTGTCTCTGGCAAAAGGAGAGAAAAAGAGAATGCCTGCTATGGAAACAGAAGAGAATGATAATGCAAGTAGTGAAAATGCAGAGGAAAGTTCTGTTTACTCCCTGAGTCATAGCTTAAAATCAAGTATTTTGGGTGAGATTTCTAATACTCTTCCTAAAATAAGAGCTGTTTCTACAAGTGATGAAAATGCAGTTTTCATAACAGAAAGGAAACTTGAAAAATACTCTGGATTTAATGATGATGTTCCCAGGGACTGCCTTATCAACAATAATAATATGGGAGAAACAGAAATTGAAAGTCTTTTTGCAAATGCTCAGCAATCTTGTGGCATGCTGGAAAGGAATCTTGATGAAGAACTAAAACAAGATATGGAGAGATTTAAGAGTAAGGTAGGAATGCTGCAAATAGTATTCCTGGCTTTGGAGAAAGAGAAGGTACAGCTGCAAAAAGAGGTAGTTCACCTGCTACTCCTTATTCTTTAGGCTTTCTCTATATCAATGGTCCTGTTCACTTTAGCTATTCATCATTAAGTGAAGATGCTTTGTGCCAATTGGTTGTGGTTTTAATGGCAATACGATGCTTATGAATAAAGAGAGCAGCAGAGAGTTGCCCTTTTCACCCTTTTACCCCTTCTTGGAAAACACAGAATGCGTTATTTTTCCAGTTTAACAGTAGGTGGCACTCAATTCCAGTGTAAGTAGTTATCATTTAATTGACATAAAAAGAACTGCACACAATTAAATCAGTTCTGATTCTGACACAGAGAATGAAAATAGCTTCTGAACAGGGTCTTGACCAATCTTTTCATTTGCTATGATTTCTGCATGATGTGTCTTCATTGCCCTTCAGTAAAATTCCCGTTTGCTGTGAAACTATTTCTGCTTGTGGGTTTGGAATCTTCTCCCCTGCCACACTACCCATTCCCTATGGAGGAAGCAGTAACCGAGCACACTTCCACTTGATTTTTTTTTTCTGTTTTTACAACTAACATTGTGCAGTCCTTCTAACTCTTTAATCCATCAGTAATGCTTTCACTTCTTTGTTGTTCATGTTTTAAGATACACGATTGTTTTCTTTCTAAGGACTATACTTCTGTTCTATCATAGAATCATGGGTGAATTCGAAGTACTTTCAATGGCAATACATTTTGTAATGTAATTTTGTGAAAATACTTCTCTATATTATTTCTTTTTTCATTTTATGCTTTTTCAGAGGTAAACACTGAATTATTCAATCTTGGATATTGCGTTTCTCTTTTCTGGAAATACTGAGAAATACATGAAACTTGCCTTTCTTTTTGTAGGTTGAGAAGGAAAAAAGCAAACAAAGATGTTTGAAAATGCAGAAGGTGGCAAAACAGGAAGATGTTGCTGAATTAAGTACACCGCCAGGCAACATTACTAATAGGGAAATGAAAGAAAAGCTTACTCTAAGAAAGAATGACTGTCTGAAAATGGAGAATGAAAACAGTACAGAAGAAAAGGACAAAAAGAATTTTTCACCTGAGGAGAGGTCAAAATTGATTAAAATGCCACTGAAAGGGTAAACTGAAATACGATCCCTAATGCTTATTTGTAGCATTACTCAAGTATCTGTTAGGTTTTCTAATACTGTACTAGTTGAAGTAGTGTCCTTAGTACTGAAAGCCATACTGAGTAGGCCACTGCATCACAAACATTCAAGAAAAATAGTTTAAAAAAACCTTTGAAACCTAAGCACATAATGAAGGTTCAAATTTATTGCCTGCTTTAAAAAAAATAAAATGAAAAAAAAAAAGAGAAACCACATTCCTATGAACTTCCTTATAATGTTGAGGCAAAATGAGTCTTCAAAATGAGAGTCAAACACTGAAAAAACCAGTTATTTTTGTAGGAAACAACTATCCAGAAAAGCCAAGTAGGAACTTGCAGTTTATTTTGCTGTCTCCCTTTTCCAGGTGATTTTAAGTGATCTGCATGCAGGTGGTGTTTTCAATAATTTTGGGTGCTCTTTGTCAGGAAAAGGGAAAGGATGATATTACCAAACCAATCTCAAAAATTTGAAGGAAACACAGATATTTTTAGGTAATACTAAGCAGGAGTGTTTTCCTGTCTGTGCTTCAAAAGAATCTCTGCTCTTGATACTTCTTTTAATAGGGATATAAGATATATTTCAGCTTTCCTGAATCTAGTTCAGGTTGTACATTTCTGCCTCATTCCTTTGGGAAGGTTTTTTAAATACTTGTAAGTACTTACAATCTTTAGGGTTAAGTCTGTGTTTTATTGGAGATATCTTTTTGTCTCAGTTGTTTCTGGACATCATCTTAAGTATGGCTGTTTCACAGAAATATTTTCTGTAAACTTACTCAACTGGTGGGTTTTTTTTTCTTTCTGTTTAATGCAGTGAATTTGCCCTGAATCCCAAAGTTGCAAAGAAGAATAAAAGACAGACTTTGAAGCAGACAGCTCATCAGCAGATGAGCTCTTCCAGTGGGAATCATTTTCAAACACTGGATGATAGCACTTTCAGTGAAACATCTCAAGATGAAGAAAGGTACTGAATATAAGAAGTGTTATAAATAAAACTTACTTAATGATAAAAATTGACCTAAAGCTGAAGGAAGTTTTTTGTAAACATGATATGTACAATGGTTCTTGTTCTTTCATGTGACAACATGACCTGAAGCCTTTTGTGTTCCAAAACACTTATCTTTTGCTCAGAGTGCTTAGAACATCCTAGCCAAGTTAATTGTAAGGTCAGTGGGCACAAATGTGAATAATTACCTGAGTGTGTGCGTACCTAAACATAGAAATATTTTATATTTTTAAAAAGGAAGAGGAGAGACTTATAAAAAAGTGAAATTGCTGTTTCATTGCAGGCATCTTAGGGTTTATTTTTTGTTTTGTTGTTTTTTCTTCAGTTGTATGTCCTCCTGACTTCTTACCTACCTCAAACTTACTTGTATAGGAGGCAAAATGAGAGACAGAAGTTGCTGACAGGGTACAAGCACTATTCAGCAATAGCTAAAACAGTGGTGTGTTGTCAACACTGTTTTGGTCAGGTATCTAACACACAGCATTGTGTGGGCTGCTATGAAGAAAATTAACCCCATCCCGAGTACACTAGAGAATCCAAAATTATGGTCATTTGACCTGTAAGAAAAAAGAGTCTCAATACTGAGGAGAGCTAAACCTCTGGTATTAAACAGGGAATGCACATAACTGTGTCTGTCTGCGTATCTGTATCTGTACAATTCCTTTCACTTTGAGTGAAGTGCAGAGAACAGTTTTTTCAAGTATTTGCTTAATATCTTGTGGAAAAAAATAGTCTTCCAATAGCAACAACGATAGACAAATTTTTTTTCCAGTATTCAACTACATTTAACAAAATTTTTATATTAAATTTTACTTTAATTCCCGTCTGAAATTAGGTTTTCAGAGCAACTTTGATATTGTTCATAATGCAAGATAAACCTGCCAGAACTGAAATACATTTCTATTTTCCAGACCTGCAGCAAAAACAGGAAGTGAAAAGAACAAGGTACTGTAAATTAGTTTCTTAATAAATAGTTTTACCAGCTTTTAATCACTTAGATGGGATCGACCAGATGCACAAATTGCTGCTAGTATGTACCTTCATCATATTTGAGCGAAGTTTACGAACTGTGAATGAGAGAATGAGTCATGCATGCATTTGTAAGGATCTGCAATACTATATAGCTGTATACAGAAAATACTGTTTGTAGGTCGGCATGGATGTAACTGATGACCTTGATTTAACTCACTCATCTGACACAGCTTCAGAGGATGTCGCATTACCAACATCCACGTACAAAGAGGCTGTGCTGCTGTTAGAGCAGCTTAGCGTGGATCATACAGGTATGTTGAAAGTTGCTTTTTCTTCAGATGTTACATGTTTCTCTTTTAAAACATGGTTTCTTTGCATGCCCTCCTAGATATTTTAATTTCATATTTCTGTCTAATATTTCTTTATGGGTAGAGAACTGTCTCAAAGGATTTGAAATTATGTCACCTTAACCTGAGATGTCTGCCTGCATTGTCAGTACACTTGCTTTACTTTATCATCGGTTCTCTGTCTAGTCAGAGCTGAAGAAGCAGATTCTTGCAAAGTATAGTTGAGCTTCATTACCTGGGAAGACAATGTCATTATTTGAAACATCCCTCTCTTCCTTCTTCTTCCCCCAGCTTTATATGCTGAGCGTGATGCCATAGGATCTGGGGTATCTTTTTGGTCAGTTGTGGTCAGCTGTCCTGGCTGTGTCCCCTCCCAACAACTTGTGCACCCCCAGCCTCCTCGCTGACTGGGTGGCTTTACTTAAGCACACACACCCCCCCCACACCCCCGCATATATATATATATATATAAAGCACACACACCCCCCCCACACCCCCGCATATATATATATATATATACATATAAATTGTCATAAGAAGAATTAACCTTGGCTAAGGGCCAAACTTCTGTGCAGCTGCTCTCTCACTGCCTCTCCTCAACAGGACAAAATAGGATGAAAAAGCCAGAAGAGCAATACAAAGGCAGGACTGTCACTTACCAGTTACTGTCACGAAACAGACTCCACTTGGGAAAACTTAATTTGTTACAGTTTAAAATAAATTTGGACCGTGAGAAACAAAGCCAAAAAAATTAAGATTCCTTCCCCCTCATTCTTCACTGACCTTCACTGTTGTTTGCGTTGTTACCCCCTTTTCCTTTACCTGTGTGGTGGTTTTGCCCTCTCCTAAATATATTTTTCCCTGAGGTGCCACCAGCATGACTGAGAGGCTCAACTGTGCCCTGCAGTGGGTCCGTTGGAACTGTCTCTGCCTGGCACAAGGCAACCCCTGGCCTCTTCTCACTGAGACCTCTGCAGTACCTGCAGTCTTCCCACTATCAAACCTTTACCACTTATGCCTAATTAAATAATTTACACATTAGAAAGTATTTGTGCATATGTGCAGCTTTATCTTTCTATCTCAAAATAGGTTCTGCTATTTTATTGAAAATTCAAAACATACTTCTTAAATATGAACAAATAATAGAACATGAAAAAAATCGATATACAGCTGTCTGTAAAGAAGTAAGAAAATTGGAAAGTGAAAAGGAAGAATCACAGTTAATAGCAGAAGAGACTCAAGATTTAAAATCTATATTGGCTCATCAAGAAGTGGAATGGAAAAGTGATATCCAAAGCCTTAAGTATGTATCCTTGTGTCCTGAAAACATGTTATCTCATCAGTGTTAATGTGCCAGAAGGTGCTGATGATGTATGTGGTAGGATAAGAAGTTTATAGTCTTTTGAGTTTGGGTTTTTTTTAATCTCTTGGGCAAGTTATGCTATAACTGACATAATGTCAGGGGGAAAAAAAGCCTGAATATTAGCTCCATCTAAAATCTTCTGCAAGTTGTTTTCAGGGTTTTTTTTAACAACAAGAGAAGAGATCAAGAGAGTTTGTATGGGAAAATGAAATTTATAAGAGAGAGGATTTATATAAATTTTGTATGTTAGTGTCTTTGGAGCTTCTGTTGGTGTATAATATTAGGAATTCAGGTAAGTCCACAGAGTGCAACAGGAGATTGAAGTAAGTGATTATCTACCCTTACTCAGCACTTGCTGAACTGCGTCTAGAGCCCTGGGTCCAATTTTTGGCCTTCTAGTACAAGAGGGATCTTAACTGATATATGTGCATTCAGCAGAGAGCTACCAAGCTGGTCAGGGAGCAGGAACAGCAGCCCTGTGAGGAGAGGCTGACACAACTGAGCTTTGAGGCATTGCACTTTCTGGTATATGGAAGACAAAGCCAGTCCTAGGTTTGCCTGGATTTGACTCCAGCAGTTTGTCAGGGTTTAAGCCCAGATGGCAACCAAGCCCCACTCAGCCACTCACTCACTCACTCCCCCACCAGTGGGATCAGGAAGAGAATCAGAAGGGTGTAAGTGAGGAAACTCATGGGTTGAGATATAGACAATTTAATAGGGAAAGCAAAAGCCATGCACACAAGCAAAGCAAAACAAGGAATCCCCTCATTGCTTCCTATGGGCAGGCAGGTGTTCAGCAATCCCCAGGAAAGCAGAGATCCCTCACACATAGTGACTTGGGAAGACAAACACCATCACTCTGAATATCCCCCTGCTTCTTCCTTCTTCTGCCTGCTGTATATACTGATGCCATACAGTATGGGATATCCCAGCCAAAGCCAGCACATTCTCAAATATGTATCAATTACAAATAACTAATATTTTTGTTCTAAATAAATTATCAAAGGGATGTTAACTTTACAATTATAAAAGCTGTATTTTTTCTTTTGTGAAATTACCCTAAAATATGTAAAGCATTTTCCTTGCAATATAAACCATTGAAATACAAATGTTACTGTCAATCTTCTGAATAATTTATTAATGGGTGCTGATACTTGGTTTGCAGAATTTTTAAAAGAGATTTTCAGTTGCCAGCTCTTTCTTTATGTTATTTTTTTCCTTGTTGACTGTTGCAAGGGATATGAGAAAAACATACTAAAATTAATTGTGAAACACAAAACTGCTTTTTTGTTTGGATACTGTGGACGTACCGTGGACCATTTCTTCCCATATTGGTGTTTGTTGCTGATTGTTTCAGTTAATAAAGAAGTTGATATTCCCTAAGGCTTTCAGTATGAATTGCCTTCAAAATTAAATTGCTGATGTTTCTCCCAGATGTAGATCCATTAAGGTTCAAAACTACTTTTAATCTCATTAAATTTAAACCCTGTGCATTTCTAAATATATTTTTGAACACTGACCTCATTCTGGAGTAAATAGAAACTGCTTGCTCTTTCTGTGGTCAGCAGTTGTTTTAGACTTAGAAAAGGCTTGTTATAAAATTGTTGGGTCTGTCAGAGAGATAAGTAATGTGCTGCTTCATCAGCATGACTTGCAATCACTGAATCCATAACATGCAGGCAATGCTCAGCGTATTAAGAAAAGGTATATTAATCATATTAATCAAAATTTTATGATGCTTCGGTCTGAAAAGACAACATACTCCTTTTGAATGAAGTGTCTCTAATGTGAAGATGACTTCTTTAAAAATTACAGAAATTTGTGTACTATTGTATATTTACCTATGTAAACTTACTTACAAAGGATAAAACACTCCGTGGTTTATTTCCTTATCTTATCAAACTGATACCATGGATAATGGAATGAAGTTAGAATTCTTTAAAAAGTTAAAAATTATAGTAAAAATATAAAGTCTGACAATATTTAACATTTTTATGGTTTGTCTCTACAAATTCATCATGTGGAATATCTACTTTTTATATCAATTCTTTAGTTTCTCAACTACTCTGTTAAATCCCAGATTTACTTTGAAACAAGAAGAGGAAAAGAGGGTCAGAGTAGAAGCACTCTATGAGAAAACAAGAGAAAAACTCAGAAGGCAAGAAGAGCAATATTGTAAAGAGATGGAGGAGAAACGGCAACTTGAGTTACAATCAAGAAATTTAGAAATGGAGTTAATGACACTGAGAAAGCTCTTGAAACAGGTATCTTAAATAATCAGTTAAACTTTTGTCTTCTTATTTCCTGCTTCTTTTTTATTGGTGTTGTGTTTCAATATGCCTAAAGAAGGAGGTACTTAGTTCATGGACAAGGCATTGGGTAACTTGCCAAATTTTGAGAACAGTTGGTTTCCAAGAAGTCTATTCTTTTTTTTTTCTCATTTGTATTTCAGGTACAGCCAAACTTTGAATTATTTTTCTAAATTCCTACCAAACATTCTGTATTTCTTCTTAATTTTTCAGAAGAAAATGAAAATTTATAGATGGATTATTATAACTGTGGGGAAGCAAAAATACTTACAAAAATAAAATGGAGAATGGGAAGATATTGCTAGCTCTGATTTTTCTCAAGAAGCAAATAGTTTAACTGTATTATTGTAGGTCGAAGAAGAGCGTGATGAAACACAGAGACAGCTTTCTCAGGAAAAGAGTGCCAGAGCCCTGCAAGAAGGCATTTTGAACAACCACCTTTGGAGACAAAAGGAACTAGAAGAAGAGACAAGAAGAACTATAGGAAAAAATTCAGATGTAAGCAGACTTTTCCCCTAATTAATTAAATTTCATCATGTTCATTCTCAAGTCATAATATTATATAAATTTTTCTGCTGCTTGATTGATTATTTACAGTTTCCCAGTGTAACTTAACTTTGTAAATACGTCTTCCATTTTCCCTTATGTCTTTAAAAGTTCTGGAAAGCAGCATCAGTCCTGTAGGTACTTTAATTGCATGTGCAAGTAGAAAACTACCAGAAAGCACTATTTACACCATTTTTTAACTGTCATGTTTTTCTTTTCCCAGATGTTTTATCATCACTTTTTAAGATTTCTAGCAGTGAAACACATAGCTACCTACATTCAGGTTGACCAGGAAGAAAGCTGTTTGACATTCACTCTCTGTTCCCATTATTTGTTTTTTTAATTACTTACTCCTTATCAAACTTAATTACTTTAAGTGTGCCTTTCTCTTCCACCTCCCCATACCAAAATTTTATGAAGGAAGATAAGCAATGAATTAAACTCTCTGTACTAGTTAGAATAATTGAAGGAGAAAAAGTATCCTGAACACTGTCTTAAAATCTGAATTTACTAAGCAGGTGGAGTTCTTGGAAGAATTACTTGTTCTTGGCTGTGCTGCCCAATTAACATAGGATGGATATGTTTATGTGGGAAAAAAGTTATTTAATAAACAAGCAATGTACAAGACTCTTGCATTCCAGGGATGGTTCAGTTGTATAGCTAACTTTCAGTAATGCTAAAGAAAAAGTGTTAAAAAGATATTGAAGAAGGAAAACACCCTCTTTAGCCTTGTTTTTACCAGATTGGTAACACAGGTAAATTAAACTTAAAGGGAATATTTCAGAGGCATGAATACACATATCATTTTAGAAGCTTTATACCTGAAGGTATACTTGAGGTATTTTAAATAATTTTATTTAATTGCTGATTTAAGCTAAAAAAAATCATTGTATATTTGGGATGTTTATTTATGGGTATGTTACACTTCTCATTCTGTGCATGCATTGTACATGTCCATGGGTTCATAGAGTAGCTTATATATTTCCTGAAATTTTACTCTTATCTTTGAAGTCATGCTTCACAATTAGAAATGTTAAAATGCAGTTCAGTGCTGAAGTGTTTCTGTAGATTTATTTCCCAGCTGGCTATTTATTCATGTTCCCTGTCATTCAGGAATCCGACACTGAGAGAGAAAAGGATCTGTTGTACAAAAATCAGTTACTGCAAGATGAGATTGCTGTGCTAAGACTAGAACTTGATCAAATAAGACTTAGGCACCAGGAGGAAGAAGGAAAATATTTAGAGGAAAATGAGACCTTGAAAGAAAAAAATGAAGATCTCAAAAAGGAACTTAAACTGAATGAAGAAGCCTTAACGCAGACAGTTTTTCAGTACAATGGACAGCTGAATTTACTAAAGACAGAATCTGCAATGCTAACTTCCAAACTTGAGCAAACAAAAGAAAGCAAAGACAGACTAGAGACAGAAATTGAATCATTTCGTTCCCGCCTGAACACTACTGTTCAAGAACTTGAACGTCATCAGTCATCCAAAAGTGATGTCGAGCGCACGTTTCAGAGAGAACGTGATGAGTGGCTTCGCTTGCAAGACAAGCTGCATCATGACCTCTCTGATGTGCGAGAAACCAACAAGAGCTTGTCTCAGCAGCTGAGTAAAGCTGAAAGCAAAGCTAATGGTCTAGAAAATGAACTTCACCAGTTGAAACAAATGCTCAGAGAAAAAATATTGCTTTTAGAAATGACACAAAAAGAATTAAGTCAAGCCCAGTGTCAGGCAAAGGAATACGATCATGCTCGACAACTTGAGAAAGATCAAGTAAGCAAACTTACAATAAAGCAGGAATCCATGCAGGAGCGATTGGCCCAGCTCCAGAGTGAAAACCTTTTGCTCCGTCAGCAACTGGAAGATGTGCAGAACAAGGGGATCATCAAAGAAAAAGTAGTGAATGATGTACAGGATCGGTTTAATGATATTTTCAACAAACTCAGAGCTGATACTGAAAAGCAAGTTTACCTGGTGGAAGAGAGAAACAAGGAATTAAATGCCAAGTGTACCGATTTAAGAGAACAAGTCTTCAAGTATGAGACTGACAAAATAGAGAGAGAGGTAAAATCGAGGCTTCGAAAGAACAAGTTTGTCAGTTCTTGAAATTAATTTGTGTTTCTAAAGTGTACCAGGTATAAGCTATATGCGTGGGTCCAGATAATGCTGATTTGTTCCAGTTTGTTGTGTTTCTCTTGAAATTGTGGAAGGTTTTGGCAAATGGGATCTGAGCAGAAAACAGAAAAAAGGTATCCAAATCTAAGCTTTGATCAAAAAAGGTGATTTTTCTCTAGAAATTTTTCATCTTTTTCTTAATCCATTTTTTGTCCTATAGAATGGTTTTATATATTTGATGGGTTTTATAAGGATTGCACTGATGGCACAAATAAGAGTGGTATAAAAGGAAGAACCATCCAATATATGAGAGTTGAGAAATGAAGATGCAGACAAGTGAAGTGATATGGAATCGATTTATATTAAGTTCAGAGGAAAAAACCTCTTCTCCGTAAATTGCTGTCAAAATTGAAGAGTATTATAGTATTCAGGTGTTAATTTATGTATGTTCTGAGGGTTCTAAGGAGTCTGGCTGGAGAATGCATTATTATATGTGTTCCTAGGAGTAGGTAGAGTGTTCTTTATTGATAGAGTGTTCTACCAATTCCAGATAGAGCAATGACTTAAAAATTGGCTTTCCCATTTTGTTTAATCTCCCTTACTTTCTGGAAAATAGGAACTAATCCCATTCAGTATTTAGACACACTGGTATAAGGTTTGTCTCCCTTAATGAGTTGAATAGTGATTTAAAATTACATTTCCTTCTTCCTAATAAATCCAGGATCTCTGAGTGAGGTTAATATCTGCATGTGTAAGATAACTACTTTATTCTTCATTTGTCAGTTACGTTAAGGTGCGTGTCGGGAGAGAACTCCAGCAATACCGTCCGTCATTTTAATCGGTGAATTGCTGTGTATTCTTAGTACCAAATTAACAGGTTCCTTTTGAAGATACTATGTTTTGGTAAACCTAATATGTCAGTATGTAGGCAGTTGTTATTCTAAACTCAGTAAGACAACTGTAAGAGAATGGGATTCAACATAAAGTATATCTCAAAAGAGCTTTCAGATATATGTATTCATTTAATTATATTTTTAAAAGAGAGAAATAGAACAAAGAATGATATGAAGTCCTGCCTTTGGTCATCAGAGTAGTATCTGCAGTCAAACTGTGGCTCTTGCATTACAACAGATTTCTTTGGATTATGTTACACGATTGCAATGTATGCTTGTGCCTGGTTTCAAGAAGAATAGTACTTGAACTTTTAATATGTGTTAGGAAACATGAACAGCTGATGAGAGTTTGGAGGAGCTCAGCTGAAAAAGATGGAGCAGTGATCATCTGTGCATGTGCCTGCTGATGGCAGGCAACATTTCATACCTTTGAGTTCGATCCAAAGACAGGTTCAATTGAGTAATCAAATAAGTCATAATATTTTTCATGTTCTTACCACTTTATTAATACTCATTTAACTGTTTCATTAGGGCATGATCAGACAGCTGCAGCAGGAGCTTGCTGATGCTCTTAAAAAGCAATCTATGTCAGAAGCTTCACTTGAAGTTACTACACGCTATCGCAGTGACCTGGAGGAAGACAAGCTGCGCTTGCAGAAGGAATTGGAAAAGGTTAAAACCAAGGTACACAATGTCTGTAATTATATTAATAAATCTGAGGGTGGCTATTGAAAGAAGGAGTGGATGTTTTCCTAAAAATCTAGGAGAAAAATCAACAGGATAGATTTCATGATGTGTGATTCAATTGCACTGTTCTATAAACTTGGTGTCCATGTCTTTGACATGAGGACATTATGTCCTTACTTGAACAGAAATTTGTATTTGCTAAGGTGCTTTGCACAATAAATTGATGTGTTTATAGCTTATAGTCACTATAGGAGAAGAATGAACTTTTTAATTCATATTTTCACAGAGGAGCAATTAAGAGGGTACAAAGAGCATCCTAAGTCACTGAAAGGGTCAGAGGCACAGTGTCGGTGCTTAGAACCGTGCTGTAGGAAAGCAGTGGAGGGGTGGGAGAGGCTGCTGTAAAAGAGGACAAAGGAATAGAGCTTGTGTTCATTGGGTAGTAGAAGTGAAGCTTTGAAGGTACTTGAATTGATTCCAGTTCTTTGGGCAGAGGGTATGCACACATACATGCAGCACCTGAGTTCTTCAGCAGCAGCTGGCTCCTCTACGTAAAAGCTCACCTGACAACTGTGGATTCTTACCGTGATTTTACAGCTGCGGGAGGAGGAAGAAAAGCATCTTCAGTCTGAGCATTGCGTTCGTGACTTGAAGACTGCCTTGGATGATAAAGAAAGAGAAGCGATAACTTCTTCCCAGAAACTGCAGGACCTCCTGTTGGCATCTTCCGAGACTAATACCACTCTAAAACAACTGGAAGAACACGTGCAACAGTAAGAGAGTAACCCAGTGAAGCGAGGTGTCTGTCGCTTTGGGGGATTGGGTGGAAACAACAGAATAGATAGCCTTGTTGCATCATTGTTGCTCTGGTGGATGTTCATAGTAAGACCTGTATTTGTTTTTAAGCCTTGAAATTGAAAACACCAGATTGGAAGCCACTGTCCAGCAACAAAGCAATAGGATTGAAGTCCTTCAGAGAGACCTGCAAGCCTCTGCCTCAGTAAGCTGGTCATAAATCTCCCTTTCTGTGACTTCTGAGCCTAGTTACCTATTTCTGTGGGGAAACTTTAAGATGAGGTTTTGGTGGAGAGCCTAGGGGAACTCATATGCTGCATTCTCCTGAATAGAGGTTGCTTGGAAAGCAGCCTGTGCCACTCCCCAGCTTCCTGGTTTTGTGTTTTCACATGAGACTATAGCAAGTCAAACTTAACACTCCAAAAGATAAGGATTTGCAAGTAATACACTCGTGTAACTATTGTCCGCTTTATACGTATTATACATCAGATGCTGCTTCAGTTACTTGTTGCAGTGTGTTTCATTTAAAGTATTCATCAAGTTGTGGAAATTCCGCAGGGTATATTGATGCCAAGGCCTTTGTGCCAGAGGCCTGGCTGGCATCATAAAACTGGAACAAAAATTATACTTCCCAGAGCTTTTTCTGTGCAGAATTGCTTTTCCTTTGGCCACTTGCTGCGTGTGTGTTTTCATGAAACAGTGAAGAGGAATTCCTGTGGTACTTGCAGAACTGAGTGTGAGCCCTCGAATTTCCCACTGCTTCTACGCAGTTTTAGGTCTGATAAAGTGCTTACATCTGTGGCCTGTATGAAGTGATTTTTTTTTCGTATTGTAACCAGTGAACTAGGGTTCTTGTTACAGCTGTAGTTGTCAATTAGAGCTGAAGAATTTTTGAGAAACACTACATGTGAAAGTTGAACTTTCTGATGTACTGATACTGTCAAGAGAAGTAGAAAGGCATTTACAATACTCATTGTTCCCCTTTAGTTAATAGGATGTGATTTTCAAGTGTACAGGGGGATGAGAAAAGCTACTCCTGCCCATTTTCACTGAAGATCCTTAATATCCGCCATGGTCGTCTCTCTCTCCCTGCTACCAACGGCAGAGGTGATGATTGCTGGCAGTATGACAGTGGCACCAAACTAAGGCCATTTTGATCATTGGTGCTGAGTGTAAATAATATAGGAATAAAGAAGTGAAGAGGTTTATGTAGTATTTATTTTTGGTAGTGAGGTGTAAACTTCAATCTAGAAAGTCTCAGTGTGGCTTCTTGCTTCCTGTAATGCTTCTGTAGGTTCACAACCGCCTGGAAGACTTGATAACTAGCTTACGGACATCACAGGCAGCTGCAGAGGACCACCACAAGCAGGTAGATGACTTGCTTCTATGAATGCCTGTTCTGGTCTTTGAATTTTTGTGTGTAGGTAATTGATGAAAAGATTGGGTGGGCTGTGCAGGCACACAACTGTCAAATACCTGTCTGGTTTTAGGGCAAGGCACTGTCAAGGGAAAAGGCTGTAAATTTCCTTGTTTCCCTGCTGCTGTGTTTTGCATCTGTGTTGCCGTGTGCAAAATACTTGTGTTCATCAGCGTGATTCATCTGATGAATTCTCTTCCCCATCCCACCTGCAGGGAGTGAGAAAGTGGCTGTAGGATGCTTAGCTATCTACTAGGGCTAAACCATAGGAGATAATGGCGACGGTGGATGTTGTGGACAATGGGGAGATCTATGGCTGAAAGCTGAGAGAGGAGACTGGAGTTGGGAGATGCACATTATCTTTGCAACTTTGTTAGAGCCTTGAGGCCATGTTAGTTTCTGTCACAAGACCCAGTGTTTCACTTTGTCTGTAAGGACACTTGAGAAAGTCATACATCCTAACAATTATTTTATCTAAGACTTTGTGCTGAGGTTTTTGTGACTTTGTGTAGCCAGCAGACATCTCTTGGTTTCTTCTTTTTTTATTTTTTTTTTTCCTTAAAAAATGCCACTGAAGGCATCTTGTCATCTTCCGGCCTTTATACTTTAACTGAATCACCAAGTTCTGTTCCACTCAAATGTATCTGTTAGGCAAATCTTTGTCCCTTTAGGCAGAACCAAAAATAACCTTAAAAACATTTTCTTGCTCTCAGGAGATGTGCAACTGTTACAGAAGCCGTGAGGATAGGGTATTTTCTGTGGTGAGCACTAGAGATAGTGGGCACATATTAGAAAGTATGTGGCATGAACTCTGGAGAACCCTTGGAAGAAAGTTGCAGGGTGATTTTGTGTGTGTGTGCATGTCTTGTTATTCCCTAAAGATGAAACCTTGTCTTGTCACGCCTAGAGCATTCATTCTTTCTATCAGTTTCAGTTTCTCAGTTATGTTTCCTGAGCTGTGTTTTACACTCCACATTAAGCTTAACCGTAGACCTTGCAGAGCTTAGGCCAGTTTCCGTTTAAGTTACTGCTTTCTATTGCACTGTTTTCTTTCCAGTCACCTTAGTTTCTTCTTCTGCCACTGTTGCTTTTACAGGTGGAAAAGCAGAATGCGCTGGCTCTGACATCAAAGGATTTGCAGAGCATGTGGGAAGAGCAGTTTAAGTCAAGATCCAACCTCGAGGAGCGTGTTGCTCAGCTTGACAGGGAAAAGGCAGAGCTCTTCGAACAGGTAAGCCCAGAAAATTCTCTAGAGACCTAGCCAGTACCTGGGAGAAGCATGTTAATCCTTCTGTTGAGTTCTTACATAAACAGCTTTTTTTATTATCCCTGCCATTCATGCTCTGAGTATCTTGTGATTTCGGGATCATCCAGCTAACTGTGTATTTTTGTGTAAATTCTGGAGTGGTTCTGTTGGAAGAGTTCCCAGTATGGTTTGCTATTAGTTGAGCACATCAAGTAGGGCTGCAATTATCCAGTGTTTCTTGGATTCCTTCTGGTCATCTTCAAACCCCTTGGTTTCCGGGCAGCGTTGAAGTCCTTCATTTTTGCAGTGCAATCCATGGAGGAACAGCAGCATGTTTTAAGGCTAGTGGATGCTTAAAAGCCTTGCAGAAAAACATACTGAAGGAATTCTGGGCAAATGAACTAGTGCTTGGGAAAAAGAAAGGCTGACAGTTTCAAAGTTTCAAAGGTGTGCAGTCTTTCCCTTTTCTCCTTTTCTGTAGAGGAATAATGGAAGTACAAAGCAACAAATACATAAGTAAATACACACAAAGTAGAGATGGAGGTAACAGCGGGGGGAAATAAAACACTAAAGAATTCCAAGAGATCAAATTCCTCTGCTTCCTGGTCATTAAAGATCACATTAGATTTATCTGTATTCTCCCATGATGAGCATACCTACATAATCCCTGCTATGAGTAGAGAACTACCCAAAGTATTCTGTAGCATCTTTTCCACATTTTTTGCTTGAAAGAGAAGGTGACCTTTGCTTCAGTGAAGGCATTTGTTTTTGTTGTTCAGTATCAGCCTGTTTGATGTGAAACCTAAAGTGCTTAACTGTTCTCAGGAATTCTGTCCCTTGGCACTCTGTGGAACTTGGCTAAGACGCAGATGTGCTGCAGCCTCTCTGTGGAGAGTGCTAGAGGCACGTATTGCTCTTCAATATTGCTTTTAGCTCTGTGTGCATCATGTATCTTTTCTATTTTGAAAGTGTGAGAGTGAAAGAAAGAAAGTGAAGAAACTGGTCGAATTGAAACGCCCAGTTGAAATGCGCCTGGACCAAGAAATGAAAAGAAACTTAGAACTTCAGAAAGACTTCAAGAGGTATGGCTTTTTGATATGGTGAAGAGGTATCCCAGAGTAGAAATCCAGTTTTATTGAACTTTAATGTAAAAATAGGTGTACATAACTCTGTGGGCAAATTCAAGCCTTGTGTTAGTTCCTGCAAGGCACTTCTTTGTATGAACCTATAGTTTTCTATACTTGCCAGAGGAATTGCCAACGCAGGTTGCCCTGGAGTTCTCCTGGGGAGAAGGAGATCTTTTATTCATCTTTTCAGCTGAACTTTGGATGCTTTAAGTAATTTATGAGGAATAATGTTTTTTCTCAGCAATTCCTGGTGGTATCAAGCATGTTAAAGATAAGGAAAGCCGTGTCTCCACTGATTACATGAGAGTATATGGAAAAGGCTCCTGTGTTTCATGGTTTTCTTAACTAATTTGCTGTGCAGGTTGAAGAGACTTCTGAGTAGAGCTACGAAGAAACTAAGGGTGTATGAAGAAAGAGAAATTGAGTCCCAGCTTAACTTGCAGGGAGAAATGAAGAACAGATATTCTGAAATGGTCAGTGAAGTTGGTAGATTAAGACCAAAGGTGAGCTCTACATAGTTTGTTGTTTTTTTTTTTTATTGTGGTGTTATTTCTTTTGAAACCTGGGAGATGCTTTCCGTATATTTCTTGGCATGTTGATAATTTTTATTTTCCTTGGCTGTATTTTGGATTTGATGGGCTTTTCTTAATGCTCCTTCTGCTATTACAGTAGTAGATGACTATAACTAATACGGAGGTAGTTATCATTATGGGTAAAGATGCAAATGTTAAGGGCAAAGCAGTAGGTGTAAGGGCTCATGGAGGCCAGGCTGTCCTGAAGAGGAAGGGCAAGCCAAGAGTGGCAGCCAGCCTGCCAGAGTGCATGACCTCACCGGCCAGGGAGCCCTCCCACAGGCCCTCAGCAAGAAGAGCAGAACAGGTACACTTGACTTTTCTCAACAGTGTTGTTGCTGCCCAGGGCACAATGAGGACAGGTTCCTCCCAGGGAAAAATCTGTAACTTATTGCTCACGGGTAGCTCTTTCAGCCCATCTTGTCACAGGGACTCAGAAGGACTGTTCCCAGCAGTGCTTTTGAGGCTGCTCTGCCTGTGCAGTAGTGGCATGTAACCTTTTATTTCCTTCTCCGCTCCTTACTCAGATTCATTACTAAAGTGGCCATCTTTCAGAGCTACACTTGGGTTTGGAAGACATCACTGTAGAATCACTTACTGCCTTTGCAGTGATTCCTTTTGAGTCCAGAAGAGCTGAGAAAGGATGGGAACCTGAGGAATCCTATGACAAATGATGTAAAAACTGTTCTGGTTGGAAAAGAAGAGCCTGGTTGCACTTAGTTTCTATTACTGAGCCAACAGTCCAAATGGCCACCCCCGTTAGAGATTTTCATAGAATTCACTGCCTTTAGATCACTCTTAAGTTTCTTTTTTTTCTTCTTCTTCTGTGTACAGGTTGGTGAACTTTCCCAGCAGCTGGACAGGGAATCTAAAAAATGCATGCAACTGGAAGCCAAAAATCAGGATTTGCAAGAAGAGCTATCCACCCTGCATAGGAAGTGTGAAAACCTGGAGAAGAGCAAATCCCAGCTGAAAGAAGAGCTGGCAAAACTACAACATCATTCGGAGACTAACCTGGTAGATCGCAGCCAAATAGAACAACATAAAAGGGAGGTGGAAGAACGAGCTGGACAAGAAATAAGACAAAAACTACAAGAAGTCAATCTGTTTTTGCAAGTAAGTGAATTTCTCACAAGTGTCCGTAGGCGCTATGTAGACTGTTTTTATGGTCATCAGTTATTAGTGGTTTACTATTTGTGCCTTTTTATGTGTGTTAGCGCTGTACTTCTGCCTTTCCTGAAGGCAGTGGGAGAAGGCAATATGGTTGGGCAGGAGGGCTGTCATGGGTGTATGATGTGCTGACAGGTCCCTGAATCAAAAGCCTGCCCAAGGCAGATTCCCACTTTGCAGTGCTTGGGGGTATCTCTGTCCGCTGGCCTGGTTCTCACTGCTCATCCTTCAATGGGTTTTGCAACTGCCAGCTGTCATGGCCAGACCTACAGGTGCTGCTTTGTCCTTGTAGGGGGGGAAAGTGCTCAGAAAAGGAGTCAATGAAGTTGTGGAGGTGGGAGATCCTCCTGTTGTCTTTGAGGAATCCTTTTCTATATGCCCTGTCCTACAGAGAGAGTGTCCTTTCATTAGTAGCTTTGTATAATAGTAGCTCCAGGGTTCTGCTTTCATTGCTGCTGGTAGTGAGGAGGCACAGCTGCCTCTCTTAGTAAAGCCTTGAAATTGGGTACATGCAATTTTCTGCTGCAGAGAGTTCTCTTTTTCTTGTGGTGATTGAAGCTGCACTGTCTCCTTCAGGCACAGGCAGCCTCCCAGGACAGATTAGAACAAATCAGAGCCAGTCATCATGCTTCACTAAGAAACCAGCTAAAAGACAGAATTAGAGATCTTGAATGTGAACTGGACAGGATAAAAAATACCCAACAAGACAGTACTTTTCAAAAAGAATCCACCCAGGCAGAAGTGGAAAAGTACAAAGAGCTGTATCTGGAGGAAGTGAAAACCAGAAAAGGCCTAGCCAAGAAACTGGAAAGGTAAGTCCATGCTTTTTTGGACTGATAATAACAGGCTCCTTTTTCCTCGTGCATTTTCCTTCTAAAATCCCTTTTTTACATCTCTCCAGCATGATGTGTGAAAGCAGAACACGGCATATTTGTGGGGAAAGTTTCTTAAGATCCTTCCCTTCATCAGACCTGTCTTCCTTTCTCTTTAAGAGTTTCAGCAGTAACACCACAGTAGCGCCATTATGGCATTAGTGGTGTCTTTTTCAAGTTGATGTTGTTCTAGCAGGCAGTCTTTTGGCCAGTCTCTAATCTCCTCATCCCGTATGTGACAGAAAAGATGAATCTTGTGCCCTTTACTGTTTGAATAAAGAGAGGCCTCTCAGAGAACAGAGTTGGATT